ACGCAGCTATAATGAACTTTTTAAATGGAGGTGTTAGATTGTCAGTTGTTAACTTTTAACCAATCACATTTATTATTGTTAACAATATATACTTAAGCCTAACCATATTCCTAATCCTAACAATATTAGTAGTAATTTTCACACCAATAAATAATAAGGCCCTTATAAAGTATTCTTCTATAAAGGGTTGTAAGGTTGTTAGTTGAACTAATAAAACTAATTTTTAATATCAACACTAGTCAGGTACTCATTAGAGTTAGAAGAACTCAGGTACATCTTATAAACTCAAGACAATGATGATGTGAACTCAAAACATTTGGGTTAGTGCTCTACAATTTGACCATGCTAACTACTAGACTGTTATCAAATATTATTTATTTTCAAATTGTGTAGGCCTATTTTAAATAATATATTTTAGAAGATCTATTTAATTTTCATTTTCAGAAGCACTGGTAGTCTAGGTCACTCTAGACCTCTAGACTCTAGCTAGAATACTATAGAATCTAAACTTTTCTAGTCTAGACTCTAGGTCTCTAGACTCTAAAACTCTAAACCTAAACTAAAATCTAGTCAAATGAGTGAGGAAAAACAAGGAAAAGTCTATACTCTACTCTAGCAGTCTGAGGGGTTGTCCATAAATAAATGATATCACACTCATAGGAGGAGGGGGTCCGTAATTTTGTGATGGTGTGTGATGAGTGGGAGGGGGGGGGGGGATTCATAAGGTGTCACACTTTTGCATTATAAAAAAAGCAATGTTAAAAATGAATTTTAGCTGTTACTTCATGTTTTAGAAAACTGTTTTAATTAATTATAATAGAAATTGATTAAAATACTCTATATTGACAGAGTAGTTCAGACGAGATTTTGGTAAAATTATTGATGTTTTAATTGATGGGGCTTGTAGACTGAGGTGTGACGTCATTTTGGGAGGGGGACTGGCTTTTTGAGACGATGTGTGATGGAGAAGAGGTAAAAATTGTCCCAAAATGTGTGACATCATTTAATTTAAAATTTATGTATGACCCCTGAGCAGTGTTTCTTTCAGATTTTGTAAGGGGGGGGGGGGGGGACACTGGTAAAAGTATGTATTTAATAGTCTAGTCCAGGGGTCTCCAAACTTTTCAGGCATGTCTTTGATTTTTCTGGGCAAAGTTCCTCAGCCATCACCAACAAACGATTTTCCTTGGACAAAAAGATCTCTGCGGGCCGGATGAGAGGACTTGGCAGGCCGTAGTTTGGAGACCCCTGGTCTAGTCTAAAAATACTAAAAAGTGTAACTGAGTGTACTGACTCAGTACTGAGTCAGTACACTCTGTTACTTAGTATTTAAGTATTACTGTCAGTAGTCATAGTCTATGATACTATGTCATAGGTTAAGGTAGGTACTCAACTGAGTACTTAACTCAGTGACAGTTACTGAGTTAGTCAAGTTAAGTTATTGATGAGTACACATTACACTGTAATGGACACTTGCGTCTTACACGTAAGTTAGTAAGTAATGTAAGTAACAGTCATAACAACACACTTTACACACACACTGGGCTCTGGGTAAAAACTTTAAAATAAATTAAAAGTCACAACAAATTCATCGCCTGTTTAAATGTAATAAATGAGATGGACACTCTAGAGTGCTTGTCACGAGAGTTCATAACGTAAGAAATAAACTATAACTAGATCTAGATCGATCTAGATCTATAATATAATCTAGTTCTACTTACTTGCGTTGTTTATAAAAGAAAATTAAATAAATGATTATGCGAGTAATCAGAAATGCTACTTTCGGTTTCTCTTTTAAATCCTCTACATGCCAGATCAATATTTTGAAAACAAGTAAAAAAAGAAGTTTCTTTTTAGCAGTTCAACTTTGTGACAACTGGAGATGGGGGGGGGGTTCAAAAGTGTAACGTCCAACCCAGAGGACTAGCGACCCTTTTATGAAAGAAAGAAAATTAGTTTTATTTTATTTTCAATGCATTTAAAAGCTTGTTGCTATTTTTATATTTGTTTTTATTTTCTACTTTTTAGTGATTCCTAAGTTATGACGTCGACGCGACTAAAAAATATTTGTCTTAAAACACCATCAGTAGCTCGCGAGTCGTGATATCTAAGGTTGTCTGTCCGTGACCATATTTTACAGACGACACAAGTTCTGAATCATGTTACCTCCCCTTAGTTTTAAATCGTTTACTTTTTTATCTGCCGCTATTAGTATTAGACCGGTTGCTACGAATGTAAACATTCTGGTGAACCACAGCTCACTGGATTGTTAGGGTGATCGCATCTAGCTAGTTGGTTAATACGAGCTGACCCGCGACGTAGCATACGCCGCTATAGTTGTTTTATTTTCTACTTATTTATGAATTCGACACTACCCCACCCCCTCCCCCCCCCCCCCCCGCCTCCCCACCCTCACCCCACCCCCACCCCACCCAGTGAAAGCAGCCCTTTACAGACGACAATGAAAATATCAAGCAGAACTTATTATCTCCCTTTAGTTTCAAATCTTTTAAAAACTTAATTATATTTTTTTCTTTTATTCTACTTTTAAATAATTCATAATTTGTGAATTCGACAATAACAATGCTGCCACTGAAAATATTTGCTTTAAAACACTAAACCCCCCTTCTTCCCCCCCCCCCCCCCCCGTGAAAGCAGCCTTCGCTTAGTTACCTCCTCTAAGTTTAAAATCGTTTCAAACTAAATTATCTGCCCCTAAATGCGGCCTAATAGCCGTCACTAACCCCGGCTCTACGATTGTTATGTAAACATTTAGCGTGAACCACAGCTCACCAGACCATGTGAGGGGGGGTGGGGGTGTTAGCGATAGAGAGGAAGAGAGAGAGACAGCAAGGCGCGCTTGCAGCTTGTTTTCTAACGTCTCTCAGAAGAGAATTATATATATAGATAGATAAGTATCTCATTTTCTATTATTGAATATAGTAATCCATCGAGTGATTTAATTTAATTATCTCCCCTTAGTTTCGAACCCGTTTAATTAATTTTTCATGACTAATTAAACGTCTAATTAAATTAAAAATTAGATAGACTTGTATTGTCATCGAAGTGGAACGTATCTGGAAAGTAAGAATCGCTGCATTATTATAGTGGGTCAAAATTGAGTTACAAGATTTGTCACAAACCCACAAACAAACTACAAACAAACAAACAAACAAACAGACATTGCGAACTAAATAAACTCTTGTATAAAAACGGTCTAGTGGTGCCGACCAAGATATATGTTGATTTATGAATCAGTTAAATAGAATGCTTTTAGAAAACCATTGAGGAATTCAAATGCATTGTCAAGAAAAACTAACCCTGGATCTTTAGCACAAAGTCTGTTTAACTATATGGCTCGAAAACATAGGGAAACGAATTTGAGAAGTGTAAAGGTGGTTAATACGTAGGCTACACCATCAGAAAGACAGTCAATAACATCACAATGTAGGTGTTGGTGTGGAACCCAGAGGGAAAGAGGAATAGTGGGAGACCAAAAAAGTCATGAAGGGGAAAATGATAGGGGAGGCTGGACTGTCAGGACTTGAGCTTTTTAAAAAAATCAAGTTATTTGATAAGTGTTACCTAGGCCAATGCTCCGGAGACGAAAGAAAACAAAGGGGGAAAAAATCAGCGAAGGATATATGGTGGTAGGTTCGTAGAAGTTACAAACTCTGTTGTTTAAGAGAAATGCTGTAACAAATGGTTTAACTGGTCAAAACAATAAAATGGTAAGGGATGACAGCAAACCAAGCATACACAATCGGAGAGGACTGAGTGACTCCCTCATTTAACTTTTTAAGTACTGCACTGGGTGACACTCAACCTTGTGGCGTCACTGGTTACAGCGCATGTTATGACGTTTGTAATAAAACCTAAATTTTCGTACGTTTGTATTCGAACCTTAGATATAATATAGGCTATTAATATATACGGCTCCTTCTGCCTCGGGAGACATTATTAACGCGCCCAGAGAAGTTTGATACCAACTCGGCAGAAACAGTTGAAAGGAAGACCAAAGTTTGTAATCCTATAATCGCCAGCGGACACACACAAACATTGTTTCATTTCTATACTTACATTTCTAATAAAAGCCCCCGCCACACTGTAACACATCCTCATCAAAATACAATACCTTACCCCCACTCCCCTCCGTTATACATCATCACAAAAAGACAGACGTCCAGCGTTTCTTCCAGACATTTTTCTCCGGGGAGGGGGGGTGCACTGGAAATGTTTGTGGGGGGGGGGGGGGGGGGGTGGGCGGACTAAAATCTCCGGAAGCGGCGGACACTGTTAAAAGTATATATTTTCTATATAAATTCCATTTCGTTCGGGGGAGGGGGGGGGGGGGGGAATAGGTCTACAAATGTGCCGTCATGGGACGACCCCAGAGTTTCTTCCAGGCATCTCTTCGGGGGGGGGGGGGGGGGCGAAGCCCCGCCCCCCCCCCCCCCCCCCCCCCCGAAAATTTTTTACCGCCCCCCCGAACGAAATGAAATTTATATAATTTATATAGAAAATATATATTTTTAACAGTGTCCGCCCCCCCCCGAAGAAAGTTTACCGCCCCCCCCCCCCGAAAATTTCAAGTGCCCCCCCCCCCCCCGGAGAAAAAAGTCTGGAAGAAACACTGGACCTTTCGTGGAGTAGGCCTAACTTCATTTAGACGACCAGGCCTAAAGAAATCTGCCCAGGGCCAATACTTGAGAAACACCGGAAAGTGACACCGGTATGACTATGTTTGACTTTAATGTACTGTGTATTAGTTTTGTTTATTTTATTATTTTGTTCATTATTATTGCAGCATAATTACTGAATGATTTTAAGTGGCAATGTTGGCACAGTTTAATTTTAAACGTTTTGCTTATTGAGAACTAGGTACGGAGAAACAGCTTCTTTAGCAACCACATACATGGCTTAGCCAATCAACGCTATCATATTTGAACTATTAGCCAATCAAAATTTAATCTTATTCTTTCGAACAATCCCGCAGTGCCATTCCTGCGTTCTGACGAGTCTATTCTACTCATGAAGTAAACGAGTCATTGCATGCACCAGTCTGTCGAAGAAGTCTCAATGCGTTAAAAGAGGACTGTGACTGTCTGTTGTATTCTCAAATTAAAAATGACAACAAGACTTTTGCTTACGGTATAAAGATATTTAGATAGACTTGAAATATAATAGCTCTAACCCTTGATCTGTTGTGTTAAATTCTCATCTGTGATCTAGAATCTAGACTACACAACTAAGAAATCTAGATCTAGAAATCTAGTCTAGAACAGGAAATCGGAGTTTCTAGATTTAGAGACCAAGTGAGCCTACTCTACCTTTAAATGGCTATAAAATTACTTATCAACTTGATCTAGATTCTAGATCAGATCTATTAGACTCAAGACATAGATTCTAGATGATTAGGTCTACCTGACACGACTCAACTAAAGTAGATTTATTTAATAATACTAAGTCATAAGTGACTACTCGAAAAAGATTTTTCGTCCCAGCGTCGCCATTTAGTCGGCAAAAGATAGTTCTGCGCAGGGATCGTAGGTTAGGGATAGGGTTCTGCTGTTTGTTTGTAAACACACGCATGCGCAGTACCATCGAAAACATCGCCGCTAAGGAAAGTCGTAGTTTCTATCCATTGCGTATGCGTATCTTTTTCCAGCTAGAATCTGCCTATTTAATAAGCCAAGCTGTGACTTAAAATAGATCTGTCATATGAGATGGGGTAGGCCTATCTTATTCTAAAGTTAAAGCATTTAAATTCAATTCTAAAGATTCTAGAGGAGTTTACACTTTTCGGACACACACCAAAAATTACCTAGGACCGAACACTTCGTCGGTTTTTGGCTCATAGAAACTTTAATTAGCATGTCTCACACGAAACCACGGCGCCTGCACGTAAACTGTTCATTTATGAACACTTCCGTGTCAAGTACTTCCGTTTCCTTTCTCAAGAATTATTTTTAGAAATTTTTTAACGTTGCATGGTACGCACATTTCTATTTTTACACCAGCCGGATGAAGTGACCTAGGGTTGGACTTAGGGGCAAAACTTGAACCAATCAATGCTTAGCTAAAAGGTTACACTATAAATAGCTTCTATATATGTATGGAACATCGTAAATGTCAAGGTTAATGGGTTTTTTCGTGCTTGAACAATAAAAAAGGGGTGTTCGCTAACTTATTTGGCCTTACATGGGAGCGGACAGCAACACAAAAATATTATTAAATAAGAATTTAGAGCATAAAAGGGGCTGGTTATTGAAGGGAAAGGGTCAAAATAAGGTCAAGAAGGCAGTGGAATGCGAAAGAGGAGGGGGAATCATGTGACCTGGCTGGCTTAGCAGCGTACTGCGCGAGCCGCAATGGCTGAATGGGATGAACTTTGGGAGTGTGGGAAAAAGGTTTTATACTATTAAAATTACCTCACAAACAATCAATAACACAATATAAATGCATATAATATGTGTTTTTATTCATTAAATTGACTTTAAATTATTCTAAATGAACAAAAAGTGCTATGTCCGATGACGGGTAAAGGTGTCCGAACACATGTAAAACTGTATTACATGTGTTCGAACACACGTTAAGACCCCCCAGTCACTATAACAAGAATAGCTTAAGTTCTATGCGTATGAATACAAAATGACACACACATTATTAAAGTAGAATGGTTGCGGATAGATATGATACTTTTTTTTGTTTTCTATGTTAAGCGGTTACTGAATGAGACCGCATGGAATTTTTACGTTGCGTTTTTTCGCTATGTGTGTCCGAAAAGTGTAAGCTCCTCTAGATAAAGATCTTGTAGGCCTAATAAAAATTCTAACCCATCCCGATCCCCTGTTGACCAGATCATATTTGCTTTTGGCATCTCTGCATTTCTTTTTCAGTTGAGTTTTGCTGGGATTCCTCCTTGTTAAATGTATATTTTTGCTGGTTTTTTAGCTTAATGAAATCCTGTACTGTATTTTTAACATTTTGTGAGTGTTTAGTAGTTTAGTTTGTTCATATCTGCTTCGTAGATAATTACGTCACATTCAGGGCTTTTACTTTTAGGCAAATTTTATAAGGCCAATTCTTGCAGGAAAAAGCGCATAGCGCTACATAGTACAATAAACTGGTTTTTCTTGCCTTCTTCTTCGTTCTTAATTTTTAGTGTTGGGAGGGATCGAGCCTTATCTGCCAGAGGGTTTGAACTGGAGAATTTTTTCAAATTTATCAACCATGAGCTTTTGCCAACACTACCATGCTTCCATCACAATTAAGGATTACGTGTCAATTGGTATGCGCCATTGAGGCCATTCACTCCGATTTCAGCCTGCTTTTCTTTTTGGATTTGCTTCCATAGCCTTTGTCCAACCAAGAACAAACTACAACGCAGCAGTTGTTTGATTTTGGAGTTGTCTCTCCTAGAAGAGTGGCTGTCCCCAGCTAACGAGCCTCATCTACCTGAGGGTTCGAAATCGAGACTTTTCGGTTTAGCAACCATGAGCTTTACCGTATCGACCACGCCGACCCCTTCTTGTCTTCTAAATGTTGGTTGTTTAAGCCTAGGTGTTGTCTAAACTATAGGCCTACTATGAAGAAATTATTTTAGATAGGCCTACCTAAATTAGACTCCCAAAAATAGTTGTGTTGGGTTGTTGTATAATAATCTTGACTAATTTTTATGTTTAGAAATTAGGGTTAGGCGTATGGTAGGGATAGGGTTTGCATAGTCATTAGCAAGCCATGTGTGTATTTTAGTTAGCCTAACATTCAGTAACCTTACACCCCTTTTAAAAGATTATCAGACACTGGTATAAAAATTGCCCCTATGAACCCTTAACCCCTGATGACCCACACCAAGAGAAGCTGCTGAGCCAGACAATACAGATATTTTTGTCAAGAGTAACAAGGGAAAATGGATCCTGTTGCACAGCTATAAAAGAATAATTTGAGCCCATTTGATAATTATTTCATTGTAATAAGGGAAAATGGATCCTGTTGCGCAGCTATAAAAGAATAATTTGAGCCCATTTGATAATTATTTCATTGTAAATTATTGCGCATCTATTACATTGTCTTTTTAAAACAAAGTCCTATTTACAGACTATAGGCCTACTGTATGTTAATAAACACCTTATGATTGAGCTACATTTATTCGTATCATCTATTTAGTTTTACATTAGGCTAATAAATAGACCTATATTAATTCTATTTTTAGATTTTGCTTAATTATTTGTCTTGCAATCGTTTAATAATTATCTTACATGCATACATTTGAATAATGGAAAAATCGCCCATAAAATTGAGTGGATAAAAATTTTCCTTTCTGAAGATCTTGTTCCCTAAAAATGCTACATAAATCAGTTTGTATTTTCTTGAATACAAACCAAAACCTTCATCTCTTTAAACCCCCAACTTTAGTTCACCATGACATTATGACTGGCTTTTTCCTTGGTTTGAATTTTGTTTATAGTGGATTAGAATTTTTAGTACAAAAACTTAATTTTTATATTTTTTTACTAAGTTTGTTCTATTTTTTATCTAAACAGAATGTGAATGGTAACACAAGACCTGTAGACGGTGACAATATGGAGCATTTCAAGAGGAAAGCTAAATCTACTGAGCAAGCTATTTCCAGGCTTACTCTTGGTGAAATAGGCAATAGAGTGTCAGCAATAACAATTGACACATCCAAAGGAGGAGCTATTAAAAAAGAAATTTTACAACCTGCTGATGGCATCCTAACTCGTGCCAGAAGTGCCAAACTTGCATTGCCCTCATCTATGGTAACAGTCAAACAAGATGGTGGCCACCAGCATGATACCAAAGTCTATTCAAAAGCCACAAAAGCTGAAACAGTAAGTGAATTATAGAAGATACAGAAGCTGCGGCACTAATTATGGACACGTTTTGAATGTTTGCTATATCATTAAAATATTTCTATTATTCTCCTTCAAGGATTTGGCTCCTGTAAAAGTTGAATGGATGCCTGATCACAATCACTTGCCAAATGTTCCTCGAGTGGCTGATGTTGACATTGGCCTCTTTGATGTCATGTCTCACAATTCAGCACCTATGGATGTTAGTGATGATGGTACAGATGCATTTTCTAAAGCAATGTTTAATGAGCAAATTGAAGACATTGATGCAGAGGATAGTGAGAATCCACAGCTTGTCAGCTTATATGTAAACAATATCTACACATACATGAGACAGTTGGAGGTAATAATTTTCCTGACATTTAAACACTTAGTTTTTTTTTTTAAATTTAAAATATACTATGAATGTGCAAGACAGTCAACTGCAGTTCCTTTTCATAAAGTAATGGTTTTTTGAGAACATGATATATGATGTCCAAGGGTCATCATAGCAGTAATGGTAAAACTACTGTTTTTACCTGGACTTGTCACATATTTGGCTACTGGCTGTTCTACTTTGTTGGATGCATTATTCTTTTATTCAGTTTTGTTCCCTGATTTTCAAGTTAAATTCTGGTAAATTATTGTCCATGCTTTTCTATGTCCATTTTATTTCTACAGAAAAAATACAGTATTAAACCAAATATGTTGGATGGTACAGATATTACTGGGAAAATGAGGGCGATTCTTGTAGATTGGCTATGTCAGGTGCACAACAGATTTCACTTACTTCAGGAGACACTTTATCTAACAGTGGCTATTATAGACAGATATTTACAGGTAATGTTAGACGTTGTTATTTATATCTCTTAATAAACTGCTAAATTTGCTTGAAACAATGATTAATTTGAAATATTTTTTAAATCTCAGGTCAAACCTTGTACAAGAAACAGGTTGCAGCTTGTAGGCGTAACAGCGATGCTAGTTGCTAGTAAATATGAAGAAATGTATGCACCTGAAGTTGCTGACTTTGTATATATTACTGATAATGCTTATTCTAAACAAGATGTCAGAGATATGGAACAGGATATCCTCAGAACTTTGGATTTTAGTTTTGGGCGCCCACTTTGTCTTCATTTTCTTCGGAGAAATTCTAAAGCTGGTCAGGTATGAAACAATCTTATATTGTTGCTATACATTACGTGTGTTTAAAACTAAATGTAGTGCAATTATTATGCAGTCCCGCCTTAAAATGGATCAATTAACAGTATTTCTTATGCAAGAAAATTTAAGGAACCTTGCTTAAAGTTGAGTTATAGGTTTAGCATAAAGAATAAGTATTTACTTGTTTTAATAGCAATGCTAGTTGTAATTCTGAAATATTGGCCTTTTTTGTTTGTGATTAAGTTATACACATCTATGTTACTTAATGACAAATATAATGCTGATGGACCCACACACTCACCCTCCTCTGCCCCATCTACTTTATTCCCTTGATCATTATCTTCCTTCAAGAGTACAAATTTTACACAGTTGCAGTGATATAATTATCCACTGAGCCTGGGTTTTTTTTTTTTTTTTTTTTTAAATGTGACAAGTTAAATCGAATTGAATATGCTTACTAGTAATACTAGTATTGCTATTTATGAATTACTACTTACTACCTTATCTACCCAGTTTTTAAAACTTTCAGGTTGATGCATCAAAGCATACCCTTGCAAAGTATTTGTTGGAATTGGCCATGATAGAGTATGACATGGTACACATTAGACCTTCCCACTTGGCAGCAGCTGCTTTGTACTTGGCAATGGTTGTGCTCGATGGTTCTAAATGGGTAATTCAGTAATCTTTGTTCTTAGTTGTAATGTTGGACGCCATTTTCTCTCACATAATTTAATATTAAGTGTCAACTTGTTATGCGCCATACAGGCAGATGATTCAGATTTTAGCCAGCTTTTCATTTTGGATTTGCTTCCATAGCCTTTTTCCATCCAATAACAAACTCTAAGGCAGCATCTGTTTGATTTTTAGAGTTCTCTCTTAAATGAGTTGCTGCTCACAGCTATCGAGCCTCATCGGCCCAAAGGTTGTACCTCGGGACTTCAGTGTAGCACCCTTTTTTTACAGACTCCGACCATGCTGACCTTATTCATTAATCAATAAAACACTTCACTAAATGCAATGTTTGAATGTTACTGTAGCTCTTTGTTTTTACTTCTTTATTGAATATGTTGTATTAATTTTTACTGTGAGGTTGCGACTGATAATATCTAATTTTAAAAAACCGAATCAAAAGATAAAATACACTGCCTTAGTTTGAACAATTTTTACAAAGATAAGCACTTTTTTTTCTGAAAAGCTTTTTAACTGTAAACACTTCTAAAATAGTCACAGCTGTAATGTGTTAAGCCCACTTACAGCACTTCAGAGACTTAGTATGAAAACAAAACAAGTAAACTTAGTCCTAATTTATACATAAGGTTATGAAAATAGTGGGTAAAGTTTTTTAAAATGTAAATTTTATTTTCAGACGCATACACTGCATTACTACAGTTCCTATTCTGAAAATGATCTTCATCCACTTGCTAAGAAATTAGCACAGCTAGTAGTGAAAGCAGAGACAAACAAATTAACAGTAAGCTAACTTTCTGTTCCAACATTTGTAGTTAAAGTGGTAGAGTTGTTAATTATTGCATTCTCATTGTATTTTTTTTATTTCAACAGGCTGTTAAAACCAAGTACTCAAGTTCCAAATTTATGAAAATTGCTGTCATCCCCCAACTGAAGTCAAAGACAATACTCGAACTTGCTTCATCCGATGCTTCATAGCCACCTTTAAATGTTGTTGGTAGGGTTGTATAAATTCATGACAAGTGCACATTGCAACAGATTTTAAATTTATATAAAATGTGTACATATGGTCACTCAAATTATTATAAGAAAAATATACTCCATTAAATTTTAAATACAATTATTTTATACATTTTAGTTAAATTTGCCATTTTTATATTTCCTTTAAAGTTGGCGGATAATTTTAAGTCAAATGTACTATAAATATTATAAAATGTAAAGGTCATAGACTTGGATTTAAGAAAATAGATTCTTCTACATGCATTATATTGGTGAATTATTTAAGACTTAGATTTACTTTATAGGCTAATTATAGAAATGTTACATTTTTTTTAAGTTAACTATACTTTTATAGGTTATGTACCCAGTATATATTAAGTGAAGTTTATTTCACTTAGATGAATGAAAGTTTTGAATCTGCTGTAAATATGTAAAATTGAAGAAACATGTTATTGTAAACTACAAGAAATGTTGCATTTGGTACCTAATTTATTGAGTTTTTATTGCAGATTTAAAATTGTGATAGGCTTGTTGTTGTAGGTTGTTTCCCTTCAGGCTTCAATTGTAAAAATGTGAGCATGCTGTAGATAGACCCTTGAGGCTTGTCTTGGAACCAGTTCTTTCTCCACAAAGTTAGGGTTCCTTTAAAGTTCACTGTCCTCAAAGTGTGAGACTTATGATCAAGTTTGTCAGCAATGATGGATGCATGGTTATTTTAAAGCTTTTATTCAGTAAATGCAATAAAGTTTTGTCTTTTGAATACTTTTTGCTTGTTGCTCTTCTATAAGACCATTTTGTACAAGTCCAAAAAAAATTCATAAAAGTTTTAATAGCATACTTTTATGTAATAAATAATGCACTAAAAAGTAGAAAATTATACAATGCCATTTAAATAGCTATAAAGAAAAGTGTGGGTCTCTTACTAAATAGTAAATGTATCCGATCTTTTCTTGATAGCTATTTGAATAGTAGTGTGTTATTTTCTACTTTTTAGTGCAGTATTACAGAAAAGCTTGTTATTGAAAGTTTTTATTTTTATGATTTTTTCTCCAGTACTTTAAATTTTTTATTTACAATAGAGTTGACTAAAAACTAATGCGCACTTAATGAACATTACAAAGCACTTGTAATAGTGCGGAATAGTTGGTAGACAGCATACTAATTTGGACAAAAATTTAATTGTGCATCCAATTAAGTCAACTTTAATGTCAGGTTGGATTGTCTTCAGCCAACTTAGAAATGAATGTTTCAGTTAGAAGTGCACGAAGTTTCAATCTATAGAGAGGAAGCAAGTTAAATAAAAGCTTGTAAAAGGGATGAATGGATATATCAAGGTTACCCAGAGCAAAAACAGGACAGATTTATGCATGGGGTGGCTACCACTTTCATTGTGATGCTTGTCTAGACATGTTCAACCGGTAATGAAAAGGACAAAAAAAATTTTCTTCTCGTTCTAATAAGATTCGTTACATTTTATCTTTTCAGAGTTGTTCAACAATTTATAAAATCTCAATCCTATAACTTTTTAAGATTTCCACCATATATCCCCTGCCTACATGAAATTTTAGGAGCACCTTCATACCAGATTATTTTTAAATAACTCACTGGTTTACTAATACATTCTGCTTGTCAACATTAGTACCCATCAAAACTGGGTAGACTACTGAGATGCCCAACACAGAAGTCACTGTCCCTAAGCACATGTAGCCTATTAAAAACCACTTGCTTTAACTTTAATGCAAATTATTTTTTAGTAAAAATGAATTTATAAAAACATACAGCTTTGCAGTGACTACTTATGTAATTAGATAAGGACTGATAATGACAATTTTTTTTTCATAATAACTTTAAATAGGGTCTAATAACTTTTTGTACTAAATTTTCAATAAAAATGGAAAATCATACAAAATAGACATTTTAGGAAAAATTTTATTTATGAAAACATGAAAGTGTCATCCATCAGTTGTTAGTGTAATACACTTGCCCAAGATAAACTACTGGGAGGTTCAGGTATGACCCATGATGCAGGTATGGCACTTGAAGCTGGAGTATTTTCTGGCACAAGAAAAGCATCCCATTCTCTCCTGTATAATTAAATTAAAAATAAAATAATAATTTTGTTTTTAACTTGCATGGGCAGCTTGTATTAAATAGGAATGTGCTGAGGTGGAACTACTGGCTTGACACTTAAAATGTTTTAAGCAGTCTAAAGCTTAAATCCACCGAATTCCAAAATAGAAAAAAACAAATGCCACCCTTTATTTTATACTATTTGTAAGTCATTTTTACATTTTGTGAAAAAAAAATTATGTTTTTTTTTCAGTCAAGATAATGCAATTAAAAAAAATTAAATGCATACTGATCACTTTCTAAATTTTTATCATTGTAAATTATAAAGAATAATACAGTTTTCTGACAAAAGGACATCTAATATAATGTAATGAATATAATGAACAAGTAAATCACCTAATTTGAATGAAGGCCTGTAGACTGCTTTCTGCTTGTTTATAATATTGTGTAAAAGGCAACAGTGGATCAGAAGGTACTATATCCCCTAGGAAAAAAATATACATTTTAATGCAATCTTCATAACGTAATTCAAAATATGTAGCTGACTATTGGAAATAAAGGCAATAATACACAGACATACTTTTGGGCAATGTTAGATATTTTTCTAAAAATCATGTAATTTATATATTTTGACAGCTATTCCTACTATAACTACTAATAAAATTATCTCACGAGAGATCTAGCTTTGAGCAAAATTAACTAATTTATTATGGGTATTAAAATCAGCAACTCTATCAAAAGTGCTTTCCTTACTTTCAGGGCCAAAAAGAAATGTTTCAAGATAATCATCATCTTCTTTCTGTTTCTGTTTTTCTTTTTCAGCTCTTTGTAAACTTTCTTTTTTAAATGTTTCTTCTTGTTCTGAACGAATCACTAACTGTGAAATAAAATAGATTTTGATAAGAAATTCAATTGAAAAAAATAAATGACTATATTTAAATTCATAAGCGTATAGTTTGAACAACTTTACAATTTAAAAATTACGATTTTAAGTGCCAGTTAATCAAAAATTTTACACCACCTTTAACTTAGCTTCTTCTTCTTTATAGCATTCTAGTTGAGACTGGACAAGTCTAGTCATGTCAGCTATTTTTTGTTCAAATATTTGTCTAGATTCACCCAACTCAGTATCTCCTGAAAAATAAAGTTTAATTTATCATAATTGATATCTTATAGTCAATGTAAATTAATACATCTTCAGAATTATGTAATAAATATGTTATCATCAGTTAAGTTGTACCTCGCTTCTGTGCAGCATCTCTTCTGATAAGCCTCAATTTCTGAAGAGCTAGCATTGTTTCTATTAATCTAGTAGCATCCTGTATTTCTCTTGTTACTTTACTCAATGTACGATCAGCAGCTGCCTTCCTTGCCTTTTTCTAAGGAGTAATAATAATGATGATTAACACATATTTTGATGAATAAGTATTTTGAAGAATATCTCACATATTCTGGATATTTAATTCTTCACTTCATTTAGTAAATATATCAATTATAATTATATACAAGTTATATTATATATAAATTGATGTCTTTTGTTTATAAATTAAGTAATCTATCTATATAAATAACAAAAATAATTACATTTAATGTACAGGTTTTAGTAGACAGAGAATTTTATAATTACCAAATTTTCTTCTCTGATCTTTGCTCTTATCTTTTCTTGCCAAGCATCAATTTGTTTACTTCTATTTTCCCATTCTTGTAGTTTCAATTGATTGTTATCATAAATTATTTTTTGAGCTCGTTTTAATCTTTGCTGAAATAGAAAGATTATTGCCAAAAAAGTTAAAGCATTTGATACACTGTTCTTAGCATGTTACATTTTTAGATTGTAAAAATTAACTTCAGTCATAAACAACTCACTGAAGTATTAGGGAGTTCACTGCCACCAAAATAAAAAAAATATCCTGCCTATACATCAATCAATAACAGTATTTACAACTGAACAAAGTTTCTTCAAAGTCAAAGTGATGTACAGGACTAGGATCTAGCAGAGATACATTGACACGACAAGTAACAAAGTCTGGTCAAAATCTCACATAAAAAAGTAAATAAACTTTTACCATAAAATCTTTATACTTTAAATTTAATGAGTTCTGATTTTGAGTTCTATTTATTCTACTGTATAGTACATTTAACTAAATAAGTACAATCATAATCTTAAGTAGAAAGTATATTTTAAGGATACAAAAAAGTTGTTTAAAGTCAAGATGCAGATGTCTGACTCCATTTACACAAACTTAATCATGCCAGAAACAGGCATAGATGCTAACACCACATTTACTGAAAAAAAAATTGTTAAATCTTAAGATATAAATAATTATTCTAGTAAGCACCAATGGGATGTAGCAAAATGTGCAAACTGCAATACATAACTTAGACGAACAACACAATTTTTCTGTTACTTCCTTGCCTTAAAAAAAGGTAAAAATATATTTAGAAAGTAAAATTGTAATGGAAAATACCCTTTTTTTCCTAATTTGTATCAATTTATGCTTCAGAACTTGAACAGATGAATCTTGCAACACAGCTCCCAAATTAGCATACTCTTTCTGGAATATTAAAGTTGCAAATGAGAAAACAAAAATTAATGATCTCTTCCTGTCTTCCTTAAATTAATTAAACTTTTATTGCTAGATGTTACAAAAGGTAATTATTTTCTTTTTCATAGGTTATAGAGACTACAAAACTGATGACAAAAGGTTAACAAGAATTTAAAGCGGTTTACCTTCATGATTTCAAAGTCACATGTCATTTTCTGCCAAATATCATTGTCAGCTGATAAAACTGAATCTGCCATCTCTTGAACTTGTGTTGACATGCTCGTTAAATGTAAAGCTAATTCTCTAAACTGGTTTATGTATGACCACAGCTGGATAAACAAAAATACAAAAAGTAGAGGGAGATAATTCCTCAACAAATAACTTAAATTTACATTGAATAATTACTATTTTGAAAATTGAAATGTAAATTCCAAAGTTAGAACATCATACTATTAGTAAATTGTTACTAAATGGTGAAGTTGTTTTAATTAATTACATATTGTCAATGTTTAACTTTAAAAATAAAAATAAACATACTTTTGTTTGTTTCAATTTATTTTCATCTGGTTTTGTATGGCACTTAAATTTTCCATTTTTTTTCAGCCATTTTTCTAGAATTTGCATTCCACTCTCTTTAGGGCCAATATCTTTTTCAGATGAAGTTGTTTGGTTGTTGATAGAAGGATTTTTTTGCATAAACAGGTTATAATTTGAAGCTGTCTGCTCAGGATGTTGATAATTTCCAAACGGTGGAGGTGGTGGTATTCCATAATTTACGCTGTTTTTATCCATCATATTATTTTGATGTCTAACAACATTCATTTGTGAAGGATCTTGAAGTTGATTATGGTTAAAGAAATTTGTGGCTGTGGCATTAAACCCAGACACAGGTGGTGGTTGAGTAAATGACAGAGGAGGACCTTGTGGAACCATCCCTTGATGGGGAGGTCTAATATGAGCACCTAAATGGTTTCTTACAGGGTTGTCATAACGTGGCTGAAAAAAAGGTGGTTGATGATTATATACAGGTTGAAAAGGCGGCTCTGTTGGAGGTCTATATTGCCCACCATGAAAAGGGTGCTGCATTCTGCTGCCTTCAACAGCTGGAGCTCTGGTTACATAATTTGAATTTCCCCTGAAAGAAGCTCCATTAGGTTGATTCCAAGTCATATTTGGGTAGGCCATTTTTAAAATGCTGAAATCATATGAAGAAAATAGTATAAATTATCATTTGCATTAGGCCTATTTAAAAATAAAGTTCTACAATCAGTAATCTACCCATATTTTAAATTCTTCACTACAATCTACAATAAACTTAACTTAAAAAATAAAATCTGGCCAAACATTAATAATTAATAACATTAAATTTAATAAATTAGCCTAACAAAAACATTCCTAAAAATTTTCAATGAATTGAATGAGTGGGACTATTAAAGTTAATGATAAAATAATATACAAATTAGATTAGATAGTAATAGATAGATCATAGTAGATAGTGATAGTCATCATACTCATAGTGATAGAAGTGGATAACCAGTTGACATGTAAGAACGAGAGAGAAGTCCGGGTTTCAAAGGGTTGATTCTAAATAATCTAAATATCATCCTAATAAATATTATAAATAATAAATAAGCATTAGAGTTCCAATAAAATAGTGTGTGATCGTTTGGCAGGAGCAAAATCCCTACATGGTCAATGGTTCACCATCCATGAGTCACATTGACTTTAGACTTTAACTATCAGCGGTCAATGTGAGTTCATGTGTAAGTTATTTTACAATATTCTAAATTTTGGATTTTTCTCAAGTTTTGACAAAATTAATTTAAAATAATTTAACTAACTAGTCTAGATTCTAGAACTAAACCAAAAATTCATAAAGAAATAGATCTAGAGATCTGTTAATATTGTTATTAATTATTAATAATAATAGATAATAATAATAATACTTAGTTAGCAGTTAGGCTATACTTAATAAAAAAATAGGCCTCTCTATACTACTATTACTAATATTACCTATAACTCTCTATCGATACAAGATCTAGATCTATAGATTCTATACAAAAAAATAAAAATAAGCTCAACTGGAGGTGAATGTGAAGCAGGGAATAAAAATTAGGTAATCTATCGTTTTGGGTACGTAAAATCGCCCGCGGCTAGTAATGTACGAAAAAGTTACCTCATTGTCAAGGCTTTAATTATACTTTAATAGAAGTATATTTTGATATATTTGTGTCAAATATTATAGATAAATGAATAATAAACCTAAATCAACAGCTAAATATATCAATATAGGAAAGAAATTAACTTTTAACAGCAGTGTTTGCGAGCAGGATTTCCTATATAAACAGCAACCATTTGTAAAATAGAGTTGCCTTCCCCTGAATCTCGTTAACAAAGAAAGAACTTAAACAAGATGGCTGCTAAATGAGCAAGGTTGCATCTGTTGGAAACATCGCTAGTCTTCATTTATTATTGAAAAGTTTTAATTCAATTGTTTGAAAACAGGTAAATAAATGAAACAAGGAAACATTTTTGTATTTTTCAAAACACAAATCCTCCTCAAAATGTGAAATAATTATTAAAATTTAAGGAGTCACCTGTTTTTCACATTACTAGATAGGTACTAGGATTACATCTCGTTTTAACCCGCGCGGCGAGTTTTTCGTCCCCGTTACCCAGACGCCGAGAATTTGCGGCTACGCGAGTGCTATAGTTTCGTAATTTTTATCGCTCGGTGTTATCGCCCGATCAATTTTCGTGCGATTGCCGATTTTTCATAAAAAAATGGACATTTTGCGTTTTCATTGTTTTTTTTAATTTTGTGCATGGACTATTCAAGATGGAGTGTTTCAGTGAAAATAAGGTAAGTTTAATTTACTCCCTACTGTTTATTTTTATAATAAACAGGAATTTTATTGCTTTACATGAATTCTACACCACTTTTCTCTATTGTTTCAAAAAATCAAGTTGTTTGGACATAGCGCACAAAAGTTATATGCTGCACAGATTTGCTACCTCTATAAAAAAAATTCGTTTGTTTACAATATGAAAGCGAAAGTGGCAAGGGAGGTAATAGAAAAAAAATGTGGCGAGCGATGTTTTGACGCCGGCGATAGTGGCGAACGATGTTTTTCCGCCGGCGATAGTGGCGACCGATGTTTTGCCGCCGGCGATAGTGGCGAACGATGTTTTGCCGCCGGTGATAGTGGCGAACGATGTTTTGCCGCCGGCGATAGTGGCGAACGATGTTTTTCCGCCGGCGATAGTGGCGAACGATGTTTTGCCGCCGGCGATAGTGGCGAACGATGTTTTGCCGCCGGCGATAGTGGCGAACGATGTTTTGCCGCCGGCGATAGTGGCGAACGATGTTTTGCCGCCGGTGATAGTGGCGAACGATGTTTTGCCGCCGGCGATAGTGGCGAACGATGTTTTGCCGCCGGTGATAGTGGCGAACGATGTTTTGCCGCCGGCGATAGTGGCGAACGATGTTTTTCCGCCGGCGATAGTGGCGAACGATGTTTTGCCGCCGGCGATAGTGGCGAACGATGTTTTTCCGCCGGCGATAGTGGCGAACGATGTTTTGCCGCCGGCGATAGTGGCGAACGATGTTTTGCCGCCGGCTATAGTGGCGAACGATGTTTTGCCGCCGGCGATAGTGGCGAACGATGTTTTGCCGCCGGCGATAGTGGCGAACGATGTTTTGCCGCCGGCGATAGTGGCGAACGATGTTTTGCCGCCGGCGATAGTGGCAAACGCTGTTTTGATATTGAAGATAGTGGAGTAGAGGGGGGGGAGGTTTGGTGCGGTAATAGCAATAAATGTTCAATATTTAATTTTAGTGTCTAGAAAATCATTTTATTTATTTTGATGTGAAAGCAAATAATGTACTGTTTACTTTTCCAGATAGAACCTACACTTCTAAAACCAGCACATCTCTACGATATGATGAGCAGTTATGTGGCCTAATGAGGGAACACTATGTAAAGAGGAATTAAAACTATTACAATAAATGTGTTCACCTTTTATTTAGACAAATTAAGTAATATTTTTTAAAATAACTTAAATAAATTTTGAAGCAGTACATTGAAAGTTTAGTAATATGAACTAGTTCTAGATTCTATATCATGTTAAAACCAAGCAATGTTGAACTTCTTCTGAAATGTAAAATACTAATGAACAGACAGAAACACATCTTTTTAATTAAAGTATATATATATAAGTAGACTAACAAGTTAATTACATTTATACAAATAAAAGACCTTACATTTCTAATAGATCTAATTTGCCATCATTTTTATTTTCATATATTAGTTCAGTTTTTCAATTATGTCAGGCGCGTCGATGACTCAGCGTTTTACCTTTTTACCATCTTTTATTTGTCAACTATTTAGATAGAACCATCAAACACACTTATTTCAGAGCTTCACTCTGGTTAGTTTTTAGCTTTAGATTCAAATAGTTTGGACCAAAGCTGATATTGTATGAACAAATTTCGTATTTAAAAATAGGGGGTGTACCCTGTTCCACCCCTTATTTTTTGTCAAACAGATAGATTTAAACACATATTTTGATTGTTTCTGTTTAAGAATAGAGTCATCTAGAGCCAGGCAAATTTTGAGACTTAAGTGCTTAATAACTCAAATTTGCCATCATGTTGCATTTCACATCAACAAGACTTCGGTTTTGCGAAATTGCATAATCTATCAGCTTTGTAGCAGTTAAAACAAAAAACTTTTCAGTTATGAATATTATTTTGATTGTAATAACTGACACATCCATAGCTCAACATCCTCAGCAAGTTTGAGCTTAATTTTTGGAATAGTTAAAATTTTAACTGAGATTGTATGAATGCACTGTATATGAAAAATTAGGGGGGGTACCCTGTTCTACTTCTGTTTTTGTTTAACTCTGCCCATAAATTTCTAATTTTATTGTTTATTATGCTTCCATATATAATAAATAAAGACATTGCAAAGTTATAACAAATTTGACCATATGGTTTACAAGCTAGGACAATTTTAGTAAACGCTTAAAAAAACTCTATCACAGAAATTGGAAAAAATCCTATGTTAAAAAAATCACATTTTTTAATACGAAAAAAAATCATAACTATTTAACCGTTTGAGCTACATCAAAAAGGAAAACTGTTCTGTTATTGTAATTTTCTGCTCCTTTTAACTGTAGTAGTTGTTTCCCTAAAAAAGCAATATTAAAAATTTATCCTAGTACCTATTACTAGATCTAGTCGCGGATTTTTACGTACCCAAAACGATAGATTACCAAAAATTAAAATACGCTAAAAGTAAAATAAATGGAGTTTTACCAAAGACGAAAGTAGAATCTAGAAATAAGTAACTAAAATCTCGATCAGATGTCTATTAATTAGTACTATTACTATTACTATTTATTACTATTATTATTATTAGTATTACTATTACATTACTTTATGTCTCGTCTACATACTACATTTCTAGCTTATGGTAGCGCTATTGAACGGATGATACCAAATAAAATAACATGAATCAAGAAAATCTAGATTCTAAGCATGAAAAATAATATAATGGGAAACAAAGGCAAATATTTTTGTTACAAATTTAAAAGTCCAACAATAATTTATGAAACTGGGGTGCAAGAACTTTATACATTTAGCAAAAACTAATAGTATTATAAAAACTAATAGTATTAGTACCATAGTGATTGTTTCAATTTGTTGGTATTCTAAAAAAAGTAATAATTTTTATAATAAAACAAGAACCACAAATGATTTATGTAGCTAGGGAGTCATCCATAAATGACGTCACACTCGTAGGTGGGAGGGGGGGGGGGGTCCGTAATTTTGTGACGATGTGTGATGAGGTAAGGGGTTCAGATGTTGCGACGTCACATTTGCATTATAAAAACGCAATGTTAGAAAACGAATTTTAGACGTTATTTCGCGTTTTAGATAATTGTTTTAATAAATTGTAACAGTTTAGACAAGATTTTAAAAAATTAAAAAAATTCAACTGCAATTTTGAGGGGGGTTGTAGGTTGAGGTTTGACGTCATTTTAGGGGGGGGGTCTGGCTTTTTGTGACGGAGGGGAGGGGGGAGGTAAAAATCGTCAAAAAAAGCGTGACGTCATTTATGGATGACCCCTAGGCAAAGTTCCTTTTTAGCTTGTCGGTCCATGGGACAAGTGTAGTTCACCTGTTTCTGTAACTTCATATGGGGTTATTCTCGCTTTTTTTGACGAATTTTACCTCCCCTCCGTCACACATCGTCAAAAAAGCCAGCTCCCCTCTAAACTGACGTCTCACCTCAGCCTAAATACCCCTTCAAAATTGCAGTTGAATTTTTCTTAAAACATCGATATGTTTCCAAAATCTTGCTTTTTTTTATAATGCAAAAGTGTTACGTCCCACCATCTGAACCCTCCCCCCCTTCATCACACACCGTAGCAAAATTACGCCCCCCCCCCCCCCAAGAGTGTGACGTCATTTAGGGACGACCTTTGAGAAGTGGTCAGCACTATGGCTATCCACTTTTACTTTCCTTAATGTGAGTTAGGTACCCATCAGAGCAGGATGGACTCAATGATGTTCTATTCTACTTACTTGAACCCGGATTCCAACTCGAGACTTTGGGTTAGTAGTTTAGCACCCTACTGCTAGGCCATGCCTTCTTATGATTCATGTAATCAATTAAAAATAATCAGATTAAAATACATAGTGGCGTAGACTTTTAAAAAATGAATTTAGAGCATGTATTGCTTAAAAATTCATTTTTTAAAGAAACATTCTAAGAAAATTTAAAGTAACTGCTGGTTGTATCTGAACCACTATGGTTTTTAAATGTGTGTTTTATTTGTAAAAGGGGGGAGAATATCATATCAATTTTCAATTAATATAATTTTTTTTTAAATCAGGAAACTCAAAGACATTCTATATCTAATCAGATTTATCTTTGCTTTGCCCCTTAGTCAACACTATAAAATAAGGTATTTCAAGAACTAAATTTTAATTTTAGTAATCATGGTCTAAACTCCAAATAAATTGAAATGGCCTAAATTGGCCTAAATTATCAATGGGCATCAAAAGCTGTGACGATGCACAGTTGGTACTAACTTTAGGATTCTAAATTAAATTTTTAATCAGGTTAATTTTAACAAATTTGTTTCTGTTATACAATTTTAATTTTGTGGTGTGTGTTGGATAAAATTTAGATATTTAACAATAAGGTTTAGGATTCTAGATCTAAATCTAGTTTCAAACTTAAAAATGATAAACTAACAAAAACAGTCTACTTAATTAAAACAGTAATATGGTTCTCCATCTACATTTAGCATTAATCATTTAGTATGACCTAAAATGTTGTTAGATAAGCGCTAAGCATTTACCGTACAACAACTCAAAACTTCCAATATGGCGGCTTCCACTTTTACTTTCGATTTAATTTTGTTATTTGGACCTCCCATACCGGTAATAATACTAATACAAAAGCAAAAGACAGCCTATTATAAATTATTATGTTGAAAATACGTTGCTTTGTAGATTGTTCTTGGGTGGACAAAAGCTATGGAAGCAAATTCAGAAAGAAAAGCAGACTGAAGTCAGAATCTTTGTGGGCCTTTTTACTTTTTACTTTTATTTTTTATTAATTATTAATAGATTCGTACAGATGCAACCAAGCCCATTTAACTTATGCAGCCATCTTGTTTCATTTTTTTGTGTATAATTAATAATAATTATAGTTAGAGATTCAGGGGAAACCACTCTAACTTACAGATGACTGCTGTTTATATAGCAAATGTTGCTCGCAAACACTGCTGTTTAAAGTTAATTTCTGGCCTATATTGATATATTAATTATTTGGCAATTGATTTAGGTTCATTAACATTTATTATTAAGTTATCTATAATATTTGACACAAATATATCACAATATACTTCTACTATTAAAGCGTTAACAATGAGGCAACTTTTTCGCACATTACTAGCCTTGGCACGGCCTTGGCCGATTTTATGCACCTAAAACGATAGATTATCTGTTATTCTAATTCTATACAAAATACATTGACAATTACATACATTTATGAACAAAAGAAGATTTTCTCACAAATCTTCATGAAAGAAGCCCCTAAAACAATAAAACTAAAATAACTTCAGCAAGTTTGTCAACCTCCATAAAAATTAACCTTATTTTTAGTTGTTTGTAAATTAAAGTAATTTATAGAATGTAAATCCATACTATCATACTATAGGCCTAATTGTATTATTGATTAATTATTAACTTTTAGCTCTGTTAATTGGTTAGTATATTAAAATAATTCATAAATTAAAAATTTCAAACATTCAGAAATTACAATTTTGGTCAGTGTATTTATGCGTTTTTATTTTTTCAGCATAAAGAACAATTTGTGCCCTCTGGTATACTGTCTTCAGCGCACACTATTGTTTGTCCTGAAAAACTTTATGAAGAAAATCCAAATTATGGCTTGCGAGATATTGCACTTTTTATTGTTGCTTCACTCAGACAGGTATTTATGTTGTTATTTGAGCTTGGTTTGACAGAGACTTAAAGTATTAAACAATAGATATTTACAGTTTACATCACTTAATTTACTGACTATTTACTGTCATTGACAATATTAAATAAGTAATTAAGTTAGCTCAGCTTGAGGAACTAATTTCAGTTTCACTTTATTACAATTTAGGCTTGGAGGCCTTTTTTCACATGGGTCTTTTTTTTTTAAACATAAAAACATTTAAATAAAAAAGCAATTGAGTAGTAAAGGCATAACAGTAACATAGCATTAAAAAATTTGTTATAAATAAATAATATTACATAGTTATAATACACAGTGAGAATGAGAATATAATAGATGAATGAGAAATTAATGAGTCAGTTAAGGAGGTCATTAATAAATTTAACCCTTTGAGCCCGCCAGGCCGGTAAACCGGCTTCAACAATAGGCATATATGTCCGAAAAGCCGGTTTTCCGGCCCGATGATCTAGCGTCATATTCCTAGCGACCGGTATACCGTCTAATTAAATATAATTAGCGGAAGACTGACTAAAAGTGCGCAATGTCATTTTGGTGCGGGATTATGATTCTAAAAATAAATTTTAGGAAAAGTGAAAGTGTTTATATTTCGTAGCAATGCCGCCGAAACGAAAAGCTGAGCCACAGCCATCGACTTCAGCACATGAAGTTGGTGCAAAAGATGAAGCAAAAGACCGAAATATCAACAAAAGAAGTAGAATGACTGCATCTCAGGCAATATAACTACTTATTGATTCTGATGAAGAAGGTAATATTCTTAGTCTATATTGTGATGATAGTGACGTTGAATTTGAGACTTAACACAGTGACATTGAAATTGACAGTGACAATGAAACTGTTCAAGTACGTTCTGATGCAGGTGGTGCCAAGCACAAAGACTTGCCGAAACGAAAAAAAAAATGTTTACTGGTGCAAAACATGCGAAGTTATTCTTTGCATTGGGTCCGGCAGTGATAACTGTTTTGAGTTATCACACAAAAGTGGACTTCTGGCGATGAACTAGTGTGGCCAGGTATCAATAATAACAAAACAATTACTAAATGTAAATTGGTTTCTTCTATGTTCTATTAAAACAATAATTATGTGTTCGTTTTATATACATTGTTCTGTTCATAGCTCAGGAAATGGGAGAAATTAGGCCAGGGAGGCCAGGGCTCAAAGGGTTAAATTTTGAATATTTAAAGACAATCAAATTTAGGCCTAATTATGTAACTATTAATAATTTAATTTAATAATACTCTTTTTAAATTTAATTTTATTATAGTTAATACCAGTCTTACTATAAGTGTAAATGTTTTTTTTTTATTCTAATGGTCTTTTCTTATTGCAGAATACACAAGTTGTGGTTGTTGATGAACTGCATGTAAAAGCACAGCGTTTAAGTCTGATAAAAACAGTAAAAAATAAGGTAAATTGTGTAGCCTTCATAAAAAAATCCAACTGAGGATAATTATCATTGATATTTTGCTATTTTTTCCGTGTTAAAATTATTTTTTTATTTAGACATCAGCAAATAGGTTTTAGACTATAGCCAATAATATAGTCCTACAGCACATTTTATAATTCAGTGAGCTTGGTAAGATCAATAATTTCAGGATTGTTAACATTACAAATGTAAATCACTTATGTAGATGTCACATTGCCTGTGTAGAAACAACAAAGAAACTTAATCCTAGGTTTCGTGGTTTAAAAATCAATAGAGATAGTGTTTAGGAAATTGTTCTCATATTCACCAGATGCAATTAATAGAAAATCCCTGCTGGAGAAAACATACTGTTCATACAATATGATGAGCAATTTCTTATTTACTGTATATACTGAGGTAGTTTATTTAAAAGATTCATTTTCAGTACCAGTTTTTTGTTCCCTAGGTTCCATCTTGCCAGATTCATTTAATTCAAATTCTGCCAAAGTATGGGTTTCTGCAGTGCATGTGGCAATGGCAATGTGCATATGCTAGTGAAGACACATCAGTTCATGTAAGAGAAGAAAATGTCAAGAATTGGTTTAGTTCCTGTAGTACCTCTGACATTAATTCTGATTATGGTTAGTGCTCCTAACTGTACAATTTATCTTGTATACTTTTATAAATGTATCTATTACAGCTAGAGCTCATACATTAATATTTAAATAAAAATAGTTTTTATTGAATGAATTTCCACTTAAAGTTAATTTAACAAATGTAATTCTTCTAGTGCAAGCTCCTTGTGAAGAGGAAGGTTACTCAACTGAGACAGTAACTGTGCCATTACGGATAAACAGCTTTTATAAAGCAAGTAAATTTATCTTGTAGCTAGTACTGAAAATGATCAAAACGCTTTTAAAAAGACGGAATTCAATTTTTAAAGATATTTTATAATAAATTTACCGGAAATTAAAAAAAAAATTAAAACCTTTTTTTTTTCTGATGATTAATTGATAGTTCATGTTTTCTTTGCTTTATATTTATTAGTTTGAGGCCCCAGCACTATTTCTTCAGTGGGAGGACTCATTAGATAATGATGAACATCTTGTGCAAATTTCAAACATATGTTTAAGGTGGTTTGCTGAAAATGTGAATGGCAGAATAATTTTCATTCATGATGGGAGAATAAATGCAAAAGGTGAATAACTGATAAAAATATTTACCTGTTAACTAGACATTTGTTTGCATTTTGTTTACAAGTTTAATTTGTTTTCATCATTTTTTTCAGGTGCTATTACAGATACACAGAAAAACACAAAAGGTTTATGTCAGCTTGCAATAAAAGTATGAGGAAAGGTTTTTACTCTTTTAAATTTTAAAACTACTGTTAGATGTCTTTTTGCTTTTTAAGAAAATTACTTAATAATTCATATTGAGAAATGCTCACATTTTAGGTTAATCAGCCAATCTATGCCATACAAAGGATGTCTGCAAGTAGTGGAAACTTTAGTCTGCCACCGCAGCCTGGATTGATAGCATTTCTACAACAGCGTCATCTGATTCATCTACATTCTAAGGTTTCAACCTGTAATTTTTTTTAGCCATAATGGGTAGACTGTGACTTTAACTGTATACATGTTGTTCTCTTTTACATGTGACACAGAATCTGTTGCATTTTAATTTTTCCAGCGGACATATTATTTGTACAATAGCATAGAGCATCAGCAGATGGCTCAGGCAGTTGGTATTCAATGTCATAAGGTAAGAGACCATTATTGAATATCTTGAGTGTTGAAAATTTTTTACAAAATTAAAATATTTAGTTCATGTAAATACACTGTTAGGACAATGTAGTACCAAGATGTTAGTTATTTTTTTTTTGCTAGTTTTATTTATTTATTTAATACCTGAGGTTTTTTTTTTTACTTATCCTCTTATTCTTTTTTATTTTTATTTAAGATTTCTGCTGTGATAAAGAAGCCAGAATTGGTAGGCTAAATTTTCTAGGTAGCAAAATATTTTGTCCTGTCAACCTTAAATTTCAGATGCTTTATTATTAAGTCATCTTCTAAAAATTGCAACTTATTCATATTCACATAATTTTGAAACAAAATAAAATGTAAATATTGGATTGTTAAAACGAGATTGCATTCAAAAGAAGAGTTCCTTACATCTCTTACTAAAATAATTACTTTTGTAAAATTTTAGTCACAAAATGTTTCCCTTTATAAATGTATTTTAACTAATCCACAATATTAAGGTTTACCAAAAATAGTATTTTAAAATGTGATTGCCTATATTTACTCATGCTCTAATAGCCAACACATTATGGTCCATGTTTTAATTCTCCAAACAAGTAGGAGCTGTTTACTATACTGTGTAATTTTTTAATAATTTATATTTTTTTTGCCTAGTTATTTAAAGACATTGGACTACCTGTGACAGTGCCAGAAATGCTAAGAACAATGACTTTAGTGAAACCAACATACATAGCTACAGAGCACTCTACTTTATCTGTGCCATTATTTGATGTAAGGCATAAAGAAGAAAATAATCATATTTCACAAAACATTCATGGATTGACTGAGCATGTGTTTATCAAAGATATGCAGAGTTTTATTCAGTATGTATTTATACTTGTTTGTGTGATATTTTGTATATTTTGAAGTGTTTATAACTATTTTAGATAAACAGAAGTTAGATGCCAACTGAACATTATTTTTACTCCATTTTTTTATATTAAAATAAACATGAACACCTATTTTAGGTATCAGGATAGTTTTCAGAAACAATTAACTCCAATTGACCAACAACCCAAACATAGCAAGGCAGAAACAAATTTCAGGAACACCAGCAGTCTGAAGTTACCCACTAAAACTATTCATAACGAAAAGAAAGATTTTGATCCTCCAGTATGGATGAAGAAGAAGAAGCAAAGTCACCCTACTTCAAGCTCAACAAGTTTTAACAATGAAGGCACAAGTAAAGCAGAATTAACAGACTTTAGTCATAGGTAACTAGTTTTGATAAACTATTCAAAATAAATGCTTATCTTTTGAAATATGGTGTAGGTAGTTAATTATCAATAGATGGTATTATAAGTTGGTACTATGCATACTTGGTACTACAAATTATTCTAAATTTTTTAATCAGGTTAATTACAAGCTTTTATACAGCTTGCAACATCTGCTTGTTTGTGACAAATCTTGTAACTCAATTTGGACAAACTTCTAATGCAGCGATTTCGTTCAAATTTTCCAGATACTTTCTTCTTCAAGAGCAATGCAGAATAACTTTTTTAAATCTAATTAGACATTGGATCAGATATTAAAATAAAATTTAACGGTTTTGAAACTAAGGGGAGATAAGATTAAATGCTAAAAATCACTTGTTAAATTACTATATTCAATACCGGAAAGGGAGACAACATGGTCTAGCAACTGTGGCTAAACAACATTCAGCATGAACCACAGCTCAGCTCATTGGGTGATCAAGTCTAGCTAGACTAGTTGGTAGACCATGTAGTGGCAGAAAACTTTTTAGCGATTGCAAACTAGTAATCGGGTTTTAACACTGGTCCTTCATGAGATCTCTTACAAATTTTAGCATCCCAAGCTTTTGTTAAAAAGAGCAAGGTTGTTTTATTTTCTTATTTGCAGTACATTTAAAAGCTTATTATTGTAAAGTTTTTTATATTTGTTTTATTTTAAAAAATACTATTAAACTAACTGTGTGTTTCAGTGAAAAAAGGTGAAATATGTAGCACTGTAAAAAACATTATACCCAACTAATTATCTTTCACTTTTGTGCAGATCAATGAAAACTGTATACTTTATGTCAGAAAAAGAAGTAATGGAAATGTCACTTGATATTCTTAAACAGGTTGGTTATACTGTTTAAAACATTTATCAAAGCAGCATAGACTGATTGTCAACGTTCCATCTAAGGGGGTAAAGCTAGTGTGCAAAATGTATTTTATGTGCGCTGTGTTCTAAAAGTCTTATACAAGAAAATATTTATTTTACAAAATCACTGCGCGACAGCTCAAAACTACTGCGCGCCCGCGCACTCGCACAGCTTAGAGGGAACATTGCTGATAGTCACTTGACTAATATAACTTTTGTATATTTTAAAGATAAAATAGAGATAAAACTAAAAACATCTTTTACTTTTAGCTTATTGAGTTGAATAAATTTATTTTTTTAATTCTTCAACAGCATGGCCAAGACAAGTAAATTGTAACAATCTGTGGATTCTTAAAACTTGCTGGTGTTTTGCAAATATTGTACAAATGTAAAACTTCATGAAATAATTGTAAAAGAATCAGTTTTACAGTAATCAAGCAATAAAAACTAAAACACATTTTTTTTTGTCCTCATCTTTTATCAAAATATCTCACAATGTACAACAAAAGTGGTCAATATATATAAATTATACATTCTCACATACGGTTTTACTCTTGTTCCATTTAATTTTAATAGAATATTTATGTAAGTCCTGCCCGGGAGGAAAATTACACTATCTACCTATCCCTAGGCCAGAGTTTCTTCCAGGCATCTCTTCGGGGGGGTGCTGTCCGTATGGGCCCGCACAAATGTGAAATCGCATTTATTAAAAAGTACCTAATAATTTATAACTTTGATTAGATTACATTAACTATAAACAAAGGCGTAGCAATCCCCCCCCCCCCCCCCCCAACGAAATGAAATTTATATAGAAAATATATACTTTTAACAGTGTCCGCCCCCCCCCCCCCCCCGAAGAAAGTTTACCGCCCCCCCCCCCCCCCGATGATTTCAAGTGCCCCCCCCCCCCCCCCCCCCCCCCGGAGAAAAAAGTCTAGAAGAAACACTGCCCTAGGCCTATCTAATAAACTGTCCGGTCAGTGCAATCGGGCTACAGTCCAGGCTTAATAGAAATAAAACCACAAGGTTAAACAAATGGATGGTGCAGTGCTGACTTCTTACATTTCGAATCGTCCTGGCTCTGAACACACAAGAGCCTCCCTCATCACCTCGACATAAAAAAAGTGACTCGAAACATCTGCCGCGAACTGATTTCCACACTACAGGTGATGGCAACTCGGGATATAGACATAATTTTAATCCATTTTTACTTTCTCATATACAGTGTATAGAGAAATTATTGTAAACGTGCACAAAAATCGCTTGCAATTTTGAGTTTTCACTGTTTTACACCTCAATCTTTCATCACAACCTAAGTATAGAGAACTTATTTTAATCGGGCAAAAATTATATATCCAGATTTATCAAAATTTTGTTGTTGTATGCGTAATCTGAAAAGCTGGGCTTTGTAATTCTGTCTGTATGCAGAGTTTCTTCCAGGCATCTCTTTGGGGGGGGGGGGGGGCCGAACGAAATGAAATTTATATAGAAAATATATACTTTTAACAGTGTCCGCCCCCCCCCCCCCCGAAGATTTCAAGTGCCCCCCCCCCCCCCCCCGGAGAAAAAAGTCTGGAAGAAACACTGTATGTCTCTGTGTGTACTTGAGTACCGTTTCAGCTAGGTTGATGAAATTTCATATATAAGTATTATTTCACATGTGTAGTGCTGTATCAACTTTTCAGCGATTTCCAATAACCGGAATTGGAACTTATCCATTAAGAAACTAAATGACAATAAAGCACCCGGACAGGACGGCCTGACAGCAGAATTTTATAAAACCTAAGCCCCCTACGCCTTCACACTTTTAGCGAAATGCACACACTAGAACAAGAACATGAAAATTTTTATACATCATACATTACACTAATAGGCAAACCAGGAACATATCACAAATTCACCAAAAATTACAGACCCATCTCTCTCTTAAACACAGATTACAAAATACTTACAAAAATACTTGTAGCTAAATTAGAACCATTCTTATTTTTCTATTGTGAATGGTTGGCATATGGTGTTGTTTATTAATAGGTGGTTTCGGCCATTTGTATAAATGATTTATACAAATGCCCGAAGCCACCTACTAATAAACAACACCATAAGCCAACCATCCACAATAGAAAAATCAGTTAGACAGGGATGCCCACTTCCCCTCCATTTTATACATACTGACATTAGAACCCCTACTCGAATGCATCAGACAAAACAAAAACATCAAAGGACTACACAACCAAACATGACGGAAAAAAATCTACCTTACGCTGACGACACAGTCTTCACACTAAGGACAGAAAACTCAATTAAACAAATAACGGACACCTTCCTTGACTATGGGGAAGCTGGCGGGACCAATATAAATTTAGAAAAGACAAAGGTAATGGGACTGGGACAATGGCAAAACAAACAAAATTACCCCCCTAAACCTGACAGCCACAAACCAACTGAAAGTCTACGGCATAACACACCACAACCACCCACTAGACACAAACATAGACATGTGGAAATCAATCATCCAAAATATCGAAAAAAAAATAATTCTACAATTACAGCACGACAACAATTTTCGCTAGGGCCGCAATAGTAAACAGATACATCATCCCCAAACTCATATACTCAGCCATAGACACAAACGACGGCAACCCAAGAGGTTAAAAAAATAATAAAAGCATAAGAAAATACATATTTCAAAACACAATACATAACATTAGCCACAACACCTTAGTACAAAGCAAACTACAAGGGGGGGGGGGGGGACTAAACTTACACGACATTCAAAGAGTAATTATCAAACCAGAAAACCATCCATTAACACACTACTACACAGGGATACAACTAAACAAACTCTGCAAAATAAACAACAATTCACCACACGAAATAGGGTACAAACTAAGCACATTCCATACCCAATGCACACAGATACTAAAAAACAACGAACATTAGCTATTACACGAAAAGTCCATAACATCTACAAAAAAAAAAATAGTCACCAAACTCGCCACGCCATTACACAATAGGATAAAATGGTGTAAAACCTATTCACAAATAGACACCAGAGACACCTTTAGAAATCTCAACCTCCAAACAATCACACCCAAAGTCAGACAAATTGCCTACAGACTTATCTACAACTCAACACCCATAGGACACCACCCACAAAGGAAATGTACATTATGTAGACAAAACTATCTAGAATCAGAATCACACATCTACCTAGACTGTCCCACTATACAAACAATGAAAAAGACTCTAGAGACCCAAATAGTGACTGGAAACGAGACCTTTGTCGTAGACATAGCGATAGTCTGGAAGAAACACTGGTTAAAAAGCGCGAATACTTATATATAGGTCTAATTTGAAGATGGGGTGCAAAATCGATAGTCCGTCCTGGGCACCTAAATAGATCGCTACCCCTTTGTTTATAGTTAATGTAATCTAATCAAAGTTATAAATTATTAGGTACTTTTTAATAAATGTGATTTCACATTTGTGCGGGCCCATACGGACAGCGCCCTAGGCGACCGCCTAGTTCGCCTTTATAGGTAGCGCCGGCACTGCTGCCTGGGAATGTTTATCACTTGCTTACATGCTTTCGTATATGCTATGGAAAGGTCGGTGGCATAGTCCCAGCATGCATCTTTCTGGGACAGATCTGCAGCGGCTTGAACCTACAAAAGAATCATCTGGCATTTCTTCTGCTAATTAGAGTTGAAAAACACCATGACGTAAACATTCAAACTATAGAGAAAACAACGCTACAACCTGCTGTATTAACAACCGACTATAGCTAAACATCATTAGTACTAAATAGGAGTACATTCAAGCTATTACCGGGGGGGGGGCAGGCGTGTGTTACACCAACTAACAAATTTGCAGAAATAAAATAAAGCCCCCCCCCCCTCCGAAAAAATTCTACCCTCCCCCCCCCCCCCCACCCACCCCCCGAGCGAAAAGAAATTTATATAATTTATATAGAAAATATATACTTTTAACAGTGTCCGCCCCCCCCCCCCCGAAGAAAGTCTACCGCCCCCCCCCCCTCGAAAATTTCAAGTGCCCCCCCCCCCCCCCCCCCCCCCCGGAGAAAAAAGTCTGGAAGAAACACTGCAAAAGATCACCTCTTAATACGACAGTAACTAATATATAGGCTTGAGTTTAAGTAGAAAAAATCATTAACTTAAAATATAGGCTACATAATGTAATTTTTAAGAATACAAAGCGATAGCTTGTGAGTCTTAACTTTCTATTATAGTATTAAAGTTATCGTTGAAACACGTACAAAATTAGACCACGTTTCGCAATATTATAATTTAGAGAAGGAAGAGAGAATGGTAATGCAGTTAGCAGTTTAAAACAACACATTATTTCATTAAATTAGTGAAAAGTTGGCCCGATAACGAAATTGAATCGATTACTTTAAAATCCCTATCACTATGTATTTCAATCAGGAAGATCATCGATGAAATTCCGGTTGCCGTTCTTTGAAGCAAGATGGCGGCGATAGGTATGTTTACTTGTGAAGTTGGGCCCAATCAATTGATTATTTTAAGCTTTTCTTTACTGAAGACTTGCTAGAGTTAACTGCTAATCAAATAAACCGGGAGTGATCTCCCTAAACTTTCTCGAATATTCTTATATAACACTACGGGGGATGGCAACTTGGAATCCATTTTTAATTACTTAAACTTTTAAAAATAGAATGAATAGAATCTCGTAGAAAAAATAATTGCGCACCAAGTGAACGCCAAACAAAGATGTGTATAATAGTGCGGAATATTATTTAGTTCTTTATAAATTCACATGCGGTTTTTGATGAATCGGAAATAGCGTAAATTACTACTTTTTGTCAACGGAAATTACTAAAAATTTGACAGAAGGCAGAGATTAAATCTTTTACTTACTTGTGAAATTACATTTATCTATCTGAAACAGTACTTTTGAAAATTGAAAGTAGAATAAGTTCCACTTCCGGTTACCGGAAATCGCTGAAAAGCTGATACAGAACTACAAATTTGATATAATACTTTTATATGAAATTTCATCCACCTAGTAACGGTACTCAAGTTATCGTGTTTACAGACACACACACACACGCGCGCGCGCACACATACACACACTCATACACACACAGACATACGGACAAAATTGCAAATCTTGATTTTTTTTTTCCCACGATTACAAGACTTTCTCTATACTTTGTGTACGAGAAAGTAAAAATGATAAAAACGATCATCAATGAAGAAAGCACCATACATTCTATTTTTAGATATGACGCGATATGGCTAATAAATTTAGTGAAATGATTGGATTTTGGCGGGGCACACATTTCCAGCGTTGATCATAATAAAATGGCATTATAAAGGGGGGGGGGTGATATTTCTGGCATAGTGACCATGTATATAAAGCTAAGACTATGAACTGTTGCTTAATCATACGATCAGTAGCGTAGCGAGGGGGGGGGGGCGGGGGGGGGGGACATATGTCCCCGGGCGCCGACCTTAGGGGGGGCGCCAAATTGAAAGTTTGAGGGGGGGGTGCAAATGAAAAGTTCGAGGGGGGGTGCAAATCGAAAGTTTGAGGGGGGGTGCAAATGAAATTAATATTTTGTAGCTACACAGTTTCCACAATAGTTTCTTGTCGCATTTTTACAAGTCAAAATAACTAACATTTTATTTTTAAAAAATGAGTTAAAATATTTTTAAAAGATAAATCAGACCCCATGAAACTTCAAATGAGTTTTTTCTCAAAACTATATTTTGGAAGATAGAAAAAGATAATACTAGGGGGACGTTGTGTTAACCACGCTTACAGCAGATTCTGTCACAAACTTTAAGTCAAGTGCAGCTTTACTATGGCTTTCCTGATGCAAAACGCAATGCAATGTCAAGCAATCACTGTCTGCGTATCGTGCTTGTAACTTGTTTTTTTAAAGCTTAACCAAACCCACATTTTTTCCAGTAAAACATTTGGCCCCATCTGTTGTAATGCTGGCCATTCTATTCCACGACAAGCCACTTTTCACAACACACTTCACAGCACAGTCAAACAAGTCCTGACCAGTTGTTGTTTCGTGGTGTTGTTTTAGATTGTTCTCCTTAAATACGGCAATCGTTTCATGACACAGTAAACACACTGCTTTTTTTCCTGTATTACCAAAGAAATAGGTGTGTTCCATTCTTCATTAAACACCTTTGTCTACCATTGGCGATGAAATATCACTTTCTGTTTATATTGCTATTTCAGTTACAACGCCTGCTTCCACCCCCTCTACACATTAAATACACGGGATTCATAATCAATATTACGCTTTTTCGGAGGGTTCTTGAATTCACTTAATTTTGGAAATTTTAAAATTGTACTGTTACATAGACAAAACTGAAATAAAACTGACAAACTAAAAAACTGCGTATTTTCACACTTTAAAGCCGCTTTAATGAAAAAAAATTACAAGACAAACTTTCGGTCGCGGACATAAAGCAAATATCAATTCAAAATTGGTTTTCTGAAGGTCTGGCGGGCCACATAAAAGGATGTGGCGGGCCGCATGTGGCTTGCGGGTCGCACTTTGCTCACCCCTGGCTTATAGCATACCTTATACTTCTCATTGCAAGCACAAATCCTATTTGTGATTTTCCATTGTCGCCTTACACGCTGAATTTCGCGGCGTTTTTTACTTTTTCGTATACGAAGTATAGAGAAGTATTGTAATCGTGCAAAAAATCGAGAACGTTTTACACCTCCCTGAGTCGGAAAACCATAGATTTGCAATCATGTCCGTATGTCTGTATATATATATATATATATATATATATATATATATATATATATATATATATATATATATGTGTGTGTGTGTGTGTGTGTGTGTGTGTCTGTAAACACGGTTGATATATATGAAATTTCATCAACCGTGTTTACAGACAGACACACACACATATATATTTATACACACAGACATACGGACATGATTGCAAATCTATGGTTTTCCGACTCAGGGAGGTGTAAAACGTTCTCGATTTGATATAATATTTATATATGAAATTTCAAGTATTATATCAAATTTGTAGTTCTGTATCAACTTTTCAGCGATTTTCGGTAACCGAAAGTGGAACTTTTTCTAATTTCAAATTTTCAAAAGCCTATAGCTTGAGTACTGTTTCAGATAGATTAAAGAAATTTCCCATGTAAGTAAAAGAACTAATTCTCCGCCTTCTTTCAAATTTTGAGTTATTTCCGTTGACCGGAAGTAGTAATTTACGCTTTTTCTGATTTCTCAAAAAACGCACGTAAATTTATAAAGTACTAATGATATTCCGAAATATTATGATCACATATTGTTTGGCGTTTACTTGGTGCGCAATTCTTTTTCCTACGAGATTCGATTCCATTTCAAAAAGTTTAAGAAATTAAAAATGGATTTAAAATATTGTGTATATCCTGAGTTGCCATTGTGATAGATTGACGAGGAGCCACATTGGTGTTAACAGCCTTTTATTTACAGACGCCATGATGCAAAGGGGAAGGAAGTACAATGCACAAGGGACATCACTCAAGATAACAATATAAATATAATACTAATACAGAAGAGTGAGTTCCCTTGACCTCACAATTATCTCAATCTATTACATCCCTTTACCCTTAGAACACAATAACACATCTCTCAATAGAACAATTGATAGTATCCTAAAATCACCAATTATATTGTAACATGAACATTATGGTAGATTACATCCTTACAAACAATGCACAATATGTTACAACATAATTAAAATACAAAACAATAATGTCAAAGTCCTTTTGACCTTTAAAATCATAGGTCTAACTTATTTGGGACTTTGATTGTCCTGTTTGACCTTCTCAGTGGCTTTTGATTTGGTGACTCAAGATTCTGACCATCTGGATTCTCTATCTCAGGAGGTCTAGGATTTAAATCATTAACTCCAGAATTTACATTTTCTGACTCCAGACAACTTGGTTCACTCATATCAACAGAACTTGGTTGTGGAACAAACTGAGTTGGTGTGAACTGATCAGATTTGGTGGGATTGACAGATTCACACTTATTATCTGCACAAGTTATTTTTAACTTTATAAGGCACAGGTCCTGTACATTGAACAATTTGACCTGGTATCCATTTTTCCTTTCTCCCATAATTTCTTAGATACACACTCTTATTAACACCAAATTCTCCTTCAATGAATGTTTTGTCATGATTTAATGGAACTATTTTTGAATTGGCATCTGAAAGTATTATGCTGTTATTCAGATCCTTGACTGACATAGATTTCTTTGATTGATCAATTTCCTCAGGTAATCTGATAGTGCTTTTTGGTAACCAAAAATACTGTTTAAAAGTAATATCCTGGACAATATCACTTTGCAACTGTGATCCAGTATTTGAAGTGGGTGTATTAAATGGCAAAAATCCTTTTTCTTTTCTTTTGATGTTACCTTTTTAGTTTCTGTAAGTGCTAATGATGTTAGCAAAGTTGTTTGATGATCACATTCCTTCTTACTAATGTATTCTCTTTAAAACATTTGAAATTGCCATATCACCATAATCATTTATTAAGTTACAAATACTTTGTTTAGGCAACTCTGACTGATAATGGACTGCATCTTCTCCATCTTTTATATTATCTTCACAAAGGTTTTTATTTCTTATTTTATATGGCCTTAAGTCATCCTTCACAGACTCTTCAGGCCAACCATTCATACAGTGCTCATATACTTTTATTAAGCACTCATCTTTTTGTGTTTCTCTTTTAATATCATTCACATTTATATTGGAGTTATCCATGATAGTGAAGAGAACAAATACATCTTCTGGTACATAGCTCAGGCTTTGGTTTTTTAAAGGTAATCTACTAAGACTATCTGCACTATTCTCAGATCCAGGTTTGTATTTCAATTCATAATTGTATGCAGTTAGTGTGATAGCCCATCTTTGAATTCTTGGAGAGGCATGCTCAGGTAGGGTTTTGTTTTCTCCAAATAAACCTAGCAATGGTTTATGATCTGTAAAGATGGTGAACTTCCTACCAAACAGAAACTTATGAAATTTCTTAACACCAAAAATGATGCCTAAGCCTTCCCTATCTAACTGAGAATAATTTTTCTCAGCCTGGTTCAAAGATCTACTGGCAAAAGCAATGGGTCTGTCACCCTTCTCATCCATGTGGGACAAGACTGCTCCTACACCATCTGGTGAAGCATCACATGTTAATATAAGTCTTTTCCCTGGGTCATAGTGAGTTAGTAAGGTGTCAGAAGACAAAGCCTCTTTTGCTGTATTAAAAGCAGTATCTTGTTGTTTACCCCAGTGCCAAGTTGCATTTTTCTGTAGCAGCTTGTACAGTGGTGATAGTTTACCAGACAGATTTCCTATGAACTTTGCATAGTAATTTATTAAGCCCAAAAAAGCTCTTAGTTGTTGGGTATTTTCAGGTTTGGGTGCTTCTTTAATGGCTTTTGTTTTCTCAGGTTGAGGTCTGATGCCTTGTTTGCTCAATATATAACCAAGAAAACTAATTTCTGTCAACATGAATTGACATTTATCTTTGTTTATCTTTAAACCTTTTTCACCAACAATTTTCAATACTTCATCAAGTGTTTTAAGATGTTCAGTGTCATTCTTACCAGTTATGTACACATTGTCAAAGTACACACAAACATTTGGAATGTCCTTAAAAATACTGTCCATGACAGCTTGGAAAATTCCAGGGCTAGATGATATGCCAAAACATAGTCTTTCATATTGGTAGAGTCCTTTATGTGTGTTTATTGTCGTATAGACTTTTGAATCTGGATGCAGTTCTAGTTGAGTGTAAGCATGACTAAAGTCTAATTCAGTGAATTTGTCTCCTCCTGCCAAATTCAAAGAGATTTCCTCAATGTTAGGTATAGGGTACCTATTTAGCTCTATTTGCTTATTCAGTGTAGTTTTATAATCTCCACAAATTCTTATAGAACCATCCTTCTTTAACACTGGCACAATGGGCGACGCCCAATCGGAATAGTCTACCTTCTTTATAATGCCATTAGATTCCAATCTACTTAGCTCATTTTCAATTTTATTCCTCATTGCATAAGGTGGAACTCTAGCTTTGCAGTATCTTGGATTTGTGTCTTTAATGCTTAACTTCACTGTTCTATCATTTAGTAATCCAGAGTTACCAAAAACACATTTATTTTCAGATATAACTCTATCTAGTGAAGTAAGACTAGATTCTTTTACATTCTTCAATGAACAAATACTCTCCCAATTTAACTTAAGATCACTTAACCAGTTCCTACCTAGTAATGGTGGTCCATTTCCTTCAACCACAAGAAGAGGAAGTTTAACACTTTGACCATTATAACTTACATGAACCATACACTCTCCTATTACCGGAACATTGTCACCAGTGTATGTTGTTAGACACTTGTGACACGGCTGTAGAGACACTGATCCTCCTGTGACAGCGTCAAAATCTTTCTTTGTTATGACTGTTAGAGATGCTCCAGTGTCAAGTTGGAAGCTGATGCTCTTACCGTTGATATAAACTGGTACATTGATGGGAGCATGACTTATTGATTTCACAGAGAATAGGTTGAAATCCGGCTGCGAATCAGTTTGAGCATTTTCACAGGTAGAGTGGTTCATTGGTTGGGTTAGGTAGTCTTGGTGAGAGTTAACATAGTGCTGCCTTTGGTTGCGGTACTGTCTTGACTGGCTAGATTTAGCAACAGACGAAGACTTTGCAAAGCAGGCCTTGGCAATGTGACCTTGCTCACTGCACTTATAACAAGTTGCAGACTTGAACTTGCACCGATGAGATGCATGGGGACCCTTGCATCGATGACATTTTTGATAATTATTACTAGATTTAGATCTAGGATTTGAACGAGCAGGCTGTTTAGCATAAGTTGGAATGCTCTGTTGGGGTTGATGTTTATTGACTAACCTGCTGTTTACTGCATGGATCCCTGAAGGCGTTAGAGATTTCGCCGCATCTGATGACTGTTGGATTGAAGTTGCGAGTTGTATTGCTTTTTCTAATGTTAGATCTGACTCGAGCAGCAACTTTCTTTGAACATCAGGGCTGTTTACACCTGTCACAAACTTTTCACATAGTCTGTCAGACAGCGTGTCTCCGAATTCACAAAATTCACTTAAATGACGTAAAGCAGCAACATATTCTGATATTGACTCGTTTGGTTGACGAGTCCTACCGTCAAATCTAGCTCGACATAGAAACTTTGATGGGGCGGGCGCATGGTGGTCTGTTAGCAATTTGCTCAGCTCGTTAAAGCTCTTGGTAGTTAGACTAGCTGGTGCGCATAAGTCTTTTAGTAGCCTAAATTGTTGAGGCCCTATGACTGTTAACAAAACAGCTCTCTTTTTGGCTTCTATCGTCACGTCGTTAGCTTCAAGGTAAAAGCTTAACCTATCTAGGTAATCCTGAATGATTTCATCATTCGCATCAAATTCTTTTATTTGGCCATACAGCGCCATTATTCTAGAAATAATTAGCTAATAAGCTCTAGCAAACCTCTTTTTTGCGTAAGTAGGTGCTCTTTCTAGTAGATGTTTATCCCATCCTCGTCGCCAAAATGTGATAGATTGACGAGGAGCCACATTGGTGTTAACAGCCTTTTATTTACAGACGCCATGATGCAAAGGGGAAGGAAGTACAATGCACAAGGGACATCACTCAAGATAACAATATAAATATAATACTAATACAGAAGAGTGAGTTCCCTTGACCTCACAATTATCTCAATCTATTACAGCCATCCCCCGTAGTTTTATATAAAAATGATCGAGAAAGTTTAGGGGAGATCACTCCCGGTTCACTTATTCTTAGTATATTTCTTTAAAATAAAAATTAGCATGCGTAATGTAACGTCAACGGTTGTCATCATTACGCTGATGTTTTGCGATAATATAAAATTGGTCTTATTTAAATTGTATTAAGAATATGAAGAAATACTGAAAGTTACGGACAGTATCCAATTATTACGGAAAATCTATGCTCTTCTTACGAAAAAAACATATTTTGGTTTTGGCAGCCCTGTACATTATATTTTTAAAAATTTAGATTGTAAATCATACATTTAAATTTTTAAAGATTTAAAATTTAACAGGAAATACATTTGAAATTAACTAAATAAAATTTAGTAAATTAAATAGAAGTTTGCAGTTAGCTGTTTTGTATTCGCTCAGGTCAGCATGAAGATGAAGAAAAATATGCAATCAATGATAAGCTAGGTTATGATGAGGCCTCCTGCGTGGTCACCAGCAAGCACAGTAACAAAAGTAGAGGCAGGCCAGCAGCTGAGGTAAGTCAAAAAGTTTATTTTGCTCTGCCTTCTAAAATGTCTAGCCATAATTCTGACGAAAATAAATGTTTTTTATCATTTTTACATAGAGAGACAAAATATTTATTTTCACCACCTTCCATTGTAAAATATCACTTTAAAAAATCAGCCGCTTAAGTGAGTAATATCATTCATGGTCCATCCCAAGTCTCCATCACCTTTCAGGTACATTTTGTTTATCCTTTGTTATAAAAAATGTCAAAGCCAAACGCCCAAAATAGTGCTAGAGGTTTGTCTATAAATAATGTCACAATCAATTGGAAAAATTGAAGTTTTGTGACATCAACTCAGACAGGTCCAAAATGCACGACTTGTATGCCTAATATTGAAAGAAGTTAAGTGTGCTGAAGTGGGGGGGGGGGGGACCTTATGCTTTGTCCACAGCAGAGGTTTAATCACAAATGCTTTGTTCATACAGGGTAAATACTAACTAAAGTCTAACTTAACCGTGATAAAAAGTTGCGTAATAGTATTTTAAGGTGCTGCATAATTTAATAATATTATCATCATGTATAAATATAACTCATTTAGATCACTGAAGTCAAAAGTTGCAGCAGCCCATAAAATCAAAACTTGATACAAATATGTATTCATGAAATTTTTTACCTTTAGCATTGTTTGTTATAACTACAATTTAGTTTTTCAGAACAGGCTAATTTCTATTAATGGAAACACAAAGGAAACTTTTCAAATAAAATTGTATTAAATAATAACGGTTTATTGTTATTATAAACATTCATGTAGACAAACCACCTATAATGAACCCTACTGTAGTCAAAATTAGACCAAACAGTTTGCTTCATAATATAATGATAACTATTGCTTAACAAAAATTCAACTCTCACTATTATAAGACTTATGCATATGTGCACATGAACTAATGAATGCCCGTGTTATGCATTAGTTGACGTAACTCAGTGGTTTAACAGAGTCCATGTCTAAGGCATTTTTTGCGCTTTTTACTTTCTCGTATATACGAAGTATGGAGAAAGTCTTGTAATTGTGCAAAAAAAAAAATCGAGATTTTTACAAATCTCGACGTTTTACACCTCACTGATACGGAAAAACATAATTTTGCAATCTTGTCCGTATGTCTCTGTGTCTGTCTGTCTGTCTGTGTGTCCGTGTGTAAACACGATAACTTGAGTACCGTTACAGCTAGGTTGATGAAATTTCATATATAAGTATTTTATCAAAATCGTAGATCCGTTTCAACTTTTGAGCGATTTCCGATAACCCGAAGTGGTACTTTTCCTACTTTGAATTTTTCAAAAGCCTATAACTTGAGTACTATTTCAGATAGATAAATGAAATTTCACATGTCAGTAAATGATCTAATTCTCTACCTTCTGTTAAATTTTGAGTAATTTCCGTTGACCGGAAGTAGTAATTTACGCTACTTCCGATTTCTCAAAAAACAAATGTAAATTTTTAAAGTACTAATTATATTGCGCACTATTATGCACTTTTTTATTTGGCGTTCACTTGGTGTGCAATTAATTTGTCTACGAGATTTTATTCTATTTTTAAGACTTTAAGTATTTAAAATGGATTAAAAATCATGTCTATAGCCCGAGTTCCCATCCCCTGTTATTTTATATAAGAATATTCGAGAAAGTTTAGGGGAGATCACTCCCGGTTTATTATAAAATGTGAAGCATAGATCGAACGGCCTCCCCTGTTTTGGTCACACAAATCGCTGTTTCTCTACATATTAATCACATGCTTCTTTGGGAGATTAATGGGCAGTCTATGTCTATAAGTTGGGAGCTAGATGTGTTTTAGAGTGCAAGAGAACAAGCTTGCAGAAATTACAATCATGTGCATTTAACGAATAAGGTTAAGAGGGAGAATTGAGCTTCACGTGCACTTCACCGTGTTTAATTTAACAGCTTTATATTTGATCCAATTAAACATCAATCAGATTTATTGAACAGGCAGAACATCACAAAAGTGTCAAAACAGCAGTGTTTGTTTTACTATTATTATAAAGAGGGTACACCCCTCTTTCTTTCATAAAAATGTACCTACGAGTCGGCAGTAAATGACTTCACGCGTGCGTGAACTTGGTGATGATGTGCTAAGTGGGAGGTTAAACGGTTGGGTTTAAGAAATTAGCTTTACATTTCTTAAAAATAAAATGAAAAGGATAAAAGAAAACGTGGTACTTGTAAACTAGTTCAGTTAAAGTTTGCCACTAATATTTTCTATCATAAAGTTAAAGGCTAAATATAGGCAAAAGATATTTTCAGAGATTTATTGGAATTGACAATTTTGATTCTTGCACAGGCTCCAGAAAAAAAAACTACTTAAAGGAAAATATTTGCAAGCATCAAGGACTTGAGAAAATTGGTTGCCATGGCAATGGCGGACATCTTGAAAAGACAATCTTTTGTTTCATAAACTAAAATACGTATCAGCCATATAATCATTGATCATTGTTTAACACTAATAGAGTCAGCTGGCTAGTTTTTGTAACAGAAAACACTCCAAATTTTATTTTTTTTAATTTTCAAAATTTGTTATAGTGAAATACCATTAAAATGAATTCTAAATTAATAAATAAATAATTACTGAATTAACTAATTGATCAACCATTAATTTTACGTTTGTAATTACAGACTTTGTTGGGGGATTTGAATCATCCCAGAGAAAAAAATACTCAGAGCATTATGCCACAGAACAGGTGGGTATTATCTTGTCATGTGTGAGCAGAATATAAGACCTCTAATTATCCCTTTTGTGAGCAGAGGGTTTTTGTGGAATGTTTTTTTTTAAATTCTATATATATCTGTAATGTACTGTCATGAGCATACGATGTATATTCTTTCTCATTTCTGGGATCTCCTCTTCTTGTGTATGCCTGGCACAATGTGTGGAATCAAACACAAGTCCAATTCAAGATATGCTCTAATGTTTCTTTATTCAAACACTTCTCAATCTTCAGTCCGACTCCTAACAATATCTAACTACAACTGATCGCCCACGGTTCAATGGTCAGCTGACCGTCACAAGTGACCTGTCATCTACTGCAATTCTATTAGTCTCCTTGACTGACCAATGTCTAATTAATTTTACCTTTACCTATCTGCTTTAAAAGTCGGGATGATATAGACATTGTTAGGTCGCTTTTCTGTCACCAAAAAGGTGTCATTATTTAACACTAGTCTACTATTATATTATATGCTTAACTACTGCATGAAAAGAAGTCATGTGAGGAGGTGATTTACTTACATGCACCAACCAAAAAAATTTTTTTGACAAATATCATTGCTTAAAACTTTTTATTTATTGAATTAGTTTACAAAAAGGCACCAATTTGCAGAAAATGGCCTCAGGTAGAGCGGCCGCTACTCCTCCAGCAATGTGTACGCTGCTGAGTCGTACCTAGTTCTAAGTTCAAATTAGTTCAAAATCGTGAATGTAACCAACACGCATGCATTTGATGTAACACAAAACTAAATGGATGCATACAATAAAATGAAATCACAATATTTCCATTAAATTGGCGCCCCCATATGTTCTGTGCGCCAAAATGAAAATGATGATTCCGACTAAATACTGCTGAGCGTAATGAAATACGTTTCCGCTGTGACGTTATAATGAAATACGTTTCCGCTGTGACGTTATAATGAAATACGTTTCCGCTGTGACGTTATAATGAAATACGTTTCCGCTGTGACGTTATAATGAAATACGTTTCCGCTATGACGTTATAATGAAATACGTTTCCGCTGTGACGTTATAATGAAATACGTTTCCTCTGTGACGTTATAATGAAATACCTTTCCGCTGTGACGTTATAATGAAATACCTTTCCGCTGTGACGTTATAATGAAATACCTTTCCGCTGTGACGTTATAATGAAATACCTTTCCGCTGTGACGTTATAATGAAATACGTTTCCGCTGTGACGTTATAATGAAATACGTTTCCGCTGTGACGTTATAATGAAATACCTTTCCGCTGTGACGTTATAATGAAATACCTTTCCGCTATGACGTTATAATGAAATACCTTTCCGCTGTGACGTTATAATGAAATACCTTTCCGCTGTGACGTTATAATGAAATACCTTTCCGCTGTGACGTTATAATGAAATACGTTTCCGCTGTGACGTTATAATGAAATACGTTTCCGCTGTGACGTTATAATGAAATACGTTTCCGCTGTGACGTTATAATGAAATACCTTTCCGCTGTGACGTTATAATGAAATACCTTTCCGCTGTGACGTTATAATGAAATACCTTTCCGCTGTGACGTTATAATGAAATACGTTTCCGCTGTGACGTTATAATGAAATACGTTTCCGCTGTGACGTTATAATGAAATACCTTTCCGCTGTGACGTTATAATGAAATACCTTTCCGCTGTGACGTTATAATGAAATACCTTTCCGCTGTGACGTTATAATGAAATACGTTTCCGTTGTGACGTTATAATGAAATACGTTTCCGCTGTGACGTTATAATGAAATACGTTTCCGCTGTGACGTTATAATGAAATACGTTTCCGCTGTGACGTTATAATGAAATACGTTTCCGCTGTGACGTTATAATGAAATACCTTTCCGCTGTGACGTTATAATGAAATACGTTTCCGCTGTGACGTTATAATGAAATACCTTTCCGCTGTGACGTTATAATGAAATACGTTTCCGCTGTGACGTTATAATGAAATACGTTTCCGCTGTGACGTTATAATGAAATACCTTTCCGCTGTGACGTTATAATGAAATACCTTTCCGCTGTGACGTTATAATGAAATACCTTTCCGCTGTGACGTTATAATGAAATACCTTTCCGCTGTGACGTTATAATGAAATACCTTTCCGCTGTGACGTTATAATGAAATACGTTTCCGCTGTGACGTTATAATGAAATACGTTTCCGCTGTGACGTTATAATTAAATACGTTTCCGCTGTGACGTTATAATGAAATACGTTTCCGCTGTGACGTTATAATGAAATACGTTTCCGCTGTGACGTTATAATGAAATACCTTTCCGCTGTGACGTTATAATGAAATACGTTTCCGCTGTGACGTTATAATGAAATACCTTTCCGCTGTGACGTTATAATGAAATACGTTTCCGCTGTGACGTTATAATGAAATAGAATCCAACTGCAGTGGTTGTAATTCATTTTTTTTTTCAAAATACACAAAATGTAAATATGTGACGTCACTCTCATTGACCCCCCCCCCCCCCAGGTCACACATCCAGTGGCGTAGCGAGGTCGGGTGTCACCCGGTGCGGCACTTAATGGTGTCACCCCCCCCCCCCTGAGGCATAGAGACCCTTCCCAGGGACAAACTTTCAAATTTTCGATTTGCACCCCCCCCCCCTCAAACTTTCGATTTGCACCCCCCCTCGAGTTTTCGATTTGCACCCCCCCCCCCCCCCTCAAACTTTCGATTTGCACCCCCCCCCCCCCTCGAGTTTTTCTCTATATATTTTGCTATTTTTTGCCTTGGTGTCACCCCCCTAAATGGTGTCACCCGGTGCGGTCCGCACCCCCCGCCCCCTCCTCGCTACGCCCCTGCACACATCACCCTAAGTTTCAATACTTCAGCCGTCACTCCTCATACCATGTACACGCGTCAGATATGAAAAATTGAATGCCCACACATGTTTCACCAGACGAACATTAAATTCATTTAGATAACCCCGCTGTATTTACCATCACCATCCCCTCCAGGTGTTCTCTCTCCCCCCCCTCTCTCTCTCTTTCTCCCCCCCCCCCCCCCTGCCTGCTTTTAATATTTATTTTCAGAAATGGAACTCAAACTTTGCATCCTGTATAATATGTACACGTTTTTATGAGAGTGAATGAATTAGCTATCAATGTAAATCTACAACAGTCCTAACATGTCAAATGATGAGCATAATTATACAATAGCGGAAGACTATGGGAAAATGATAATATACGCTACCAATATTAAATGTCTGAGGGGGGAAAAGTGTAGATTTAAATGAAAATGTGTATCTATGGGTTTATTCATTCAAACGTCGCTAAACTTTTGGAAGTTGTTGACCAAATACCTGGGAAGATTTCTGCGATATAAAAATGTGGGGGTCCGCGTTGAGTGTAGGGTGCGGTTTGAAACTCAGAGTTTCACAGTGTCTATCCTAGCACCAGGATCCATTGATTGGACACCATGCACAGGAGTGTACACAATGCACTGTCATACACTAGGGCAGGGGTTCCCAACCCCGTGCCCGCGGGCGCCATGGCGCCCGCCGAACGATTCGTATGTGCCCGCCTCTCACTTTTCGACAGAGACAGAATTTTTTTCATAAACATTATTGAAAGGTTGAAGGGGATGGAAATCAAAAGTTTGAGTGGGGGGGGGGGGTGCAAATCAAAAACTTGAGAGGGGGGGTGCAAATCGAAAATTTGAGGGGGGGGGGGGGGTGCAAATCGAAAGTTTTGTCCCCGGGTGACGGGAAGGGTCGCTACGCCTCTGGAAGGAGTTTGTTGATTTAAAATAGGTGGTGCCCGCCACCCTACCGATATTTTAGAATGTGCTCTAGAGTAAAAAAAAAAAGGTTGGGAACCCCTGCACTAGGGACACGGAGGGCTACTGTAACCCTTGACAAAATAGAATCAGCCACTCTGCCGACGTCCCTGGCAGGCGAGTGACCTGGTACACCCCCGGCTCTCACGGAAGACGGTGGCGCCCACATTAATTTTAGATAGTGCCATTCACTAGATCGTAGCAATGGGTAACAGTTACACTAGTTTTGTAATAGAGAATTAATACATTTTAATTTGATCTTTTAAACTGCACCAAATTATCAGAACATATTATTTTTTTTTCAGGATTATGAAAAATGTGAGAATATGCTATACCTTGATTGATGAACAGGAAAAGGTACCTTTCACTTTTAAAAAGAGTGATAAATAATGAAACAGCATTAATGAGCAAATCTATTTTTACTTTCTCGTATATGAAGTTTAGAGGAAGTATTTAAATTGTTCGAAAAATGAACAAATCCCGACGGAAATACTTGGTTTTGCAATTTCGTCTGTAAACATGATAATTTCACTACCGTTTCAGGTACGTTGACGATATTTTATATATTGACTTAGTTAACTTAGTCCTCTTTGCTCCTTATGGAACATAGGGCCTCCACCATTTCCTTCCATTTCGTTCGATCCCCGGCTATTAATTTTGAAATCTCCCAAGACATCCCTGTTGGCTTTTTTTTTTGGTGGGCTAGAAACAGCTGGGTATCATGGGCATTTTGAGGGAAAGCATCAGTAATAATGTGTCTGATCACTTCCCTGCTGGACCACGAGGGTCATAAATTACACAAAATGCCACCCAGATTGGCTGAGATCTAAGAACAGCAATGGTTGTTACATTGAAAGTAGATTAGCAGCTTTATTGGGGGGTTTTGTAGGAGTTTAGTGGTCTCAAGTTTATTACTGTAGTTTAGATCTACTAAATCTATTGCTACTTAACTAGACAATCTAGAATCTATACTAACTAGATCTAGATAATCTATATTACTGCTTTTTATGTCAACACGAATATAAGTATCTTCAATTCCTAAGAGGGTCATAAATTACACAAAATGCCACCCAGATTGGCTGAGATCTAAGAACAGCAATGGTTGTTACATTGAAAGTAGATTAGCAGCTTTATTGGGGGGTTTTGTAGGAGTTTAGTGGTCTCAAGTTTATTACTGTAGTTTAGATCTACTAAATCTATTGCTACTTAACTAGACAATCTAGAATCTATACTAACTAGATCTAGATAATCTATATTACTGCTTTTTATGTCAACACGAATATAAGTATCTTCAATTCCTAAGAGCTCAAGTTTTTTTAACGTATTGTTCCTGTTCTGCGGGTGCAAGGCTCTTAGCATATAATGAACACATTTTGAGACACGCCCAGCGCTGAGCAACAGTTGATTGTTTACTGGCGGTGTTCACCACCGTGGCAGAGGACGTAGGTATCACGTGATTTAAGTCACGTGTTTACAAGGGGTCTATAAATGCAATTTCCTCAATGTAACTGAAACAGTACTCAAGTTATCATGTTTACAAAACAAACCTCGGATAGTTAGACAGGGAACAGGACATTACCCCTCCCATCCCTGTATTGACCACCGTGCAGCGTTTACTCCCCTGCCAATAACCCCAACCCTCGCCCCCTCTAAAATATATACAACAATATCTAAATTCTAAATGTACAAATATGAATGAAATTTAAAAATGATTAATATCAAATATAGGTCTACATGTTGGAATTTTCATTTTCTGAAATAGAAAACAAAGGAAAACTAAATTAATATGTGATGAAAGTGTTATTTAATGCGTTAACTCTCGAAAAGACAAATAATAGATAATTGTGTATGTAAATGTAATATTTTATTTGCATCAAATAAGAAGAGATGTAACTTTTAGTAATCTTATGAAAAAATCAATTTAAACGAAAAAAAGTATATTTCAATATAACTGAAGTTTAAAAAAAATCTAAACGTGCTCCGTTTATTCCATTAGCTTCTAAAATCCACTTCTTCACATGCGTTTACCAACATTACCTCAGTGTTTCTTCCAGACTTTTTTCTCCGGGGGGGGGGGGGCACTTGAAATTTTGGGGGGGGGGGGGGGCGGTAGACTTTCTTCGGGGGGGGGGGGGGGCGGACACTGCTAAAAGTATATATTTTCTATATAAATTATATAAATTTCATTTCGTTCGGGGGGGGGGGGGGCCGGTAAAATTTTTTCGAAGAGATGCCTGGAAGAAACTCTGATTACCATACGCACTTTAAAGATAAACCAAGTGAAAAACTCACATAAGCAGTGACATTTTAGGTATAAAAATACATAATATATCGGCACAATTCACTTTTCTTATCAATCGCAATCTTGAAGGGGTGGGAGGGGGGGGGGGCAATGTCCTACAGCAGTGTTTTGGGCGGGATGGGGGATAATGTCCCTGGGGTAATTGATAGGAAGTAATTGCTCTGGAAGAGGGGGGGGGGAGGTTTCATGTAGAAAATATATTCATTGTAAATATAGTTGTCTTAACTTAATAACTTAAGTTTAAAAATTGCTTAAATAATATTGCTCTGCTACCTGGTTTTGACATGTTTTTAAATTTGAGTTATTTTCGCCGGGTGAAGGTCACCATGTTAAATTAAGTTCTTTGAGTAATTATGTATACTGCTTAACGAAAAAATGCTGTCTAATTTAGGTGAAAATCTCTCAGCTTGTAAAGGAGATGGGAGGAGACGTTGACGATGAGATAACTGATGACTCAACACATATGATTGTTGAGAGACTCGGAGCAATAGAGTATTTTGTGGGTGTCACAAAGTCGTTCTTTAACTAACATGAGATTAGTTTGAAATTTGGGTGAAATTCGGCTAATCTTTCGCTTTAGGTCAGATTACCATTTGGGTAATTAAGGGTAAAGTCTAACGAGGCTAGTAATGTAAAAGAAAGGTAGCTCATTAAATTTTAGTAATTATTTTATTTTAATTATTTAGAGTAATTATTTCACAATTTTAGGACGATTTATGTTTTAAAAGTTTTTTGGGATCCGTTAGAAAACAAGCTGCAAGCGCCTCCTTGCAGTCCCCTCTCTTTCTCTCTATCACTATCACTACCACCCCCACCCCACCCCCACATTGTCTGGTGAGCTGTGGTCACGCTGTTTACATTTTACAATCATAGAGACGGGTTTGGTGACGGCTATTGGGGCAGATAATTTAGTTTGAAACGATTTTAAAGGTTGGGGGGTAGGGGGGGGGGGGTTATGGTCCTTAACATGCTACTTATAGTGTTTAAAGAAATATTTTCAGTGTCAGCGTTGGTACTGTCGAATTCACAAATTATGAATTACTGAAAAGTAGAAAAAACAACAACTAAATAGCGGCGTCTGTTATGCCGCGGGCCGGCTCGTATATATAATTCTCTTCTGGGATCCGTTAGAAAACAAGCTGCAAGCGCGCCTTACAGTCCCCTCTCTTCCTCTCTACCGCTACCACCCCCCACCTCCCATCCTCTCACAGGGTCTGGTGAGCTGTGGTTCACGCTGTTTACATTTTAAAATCATAGAGACGGGTTTGGTGACGGCTATTAGGGGCAGATAATTTAGTTTGAAACGATTTTAAACTTAGAGGAGGTAATTAAGAGGACGCTGCTTTCACGTGGGGGGGGGGGGGGGGGGGGGGGAAGGGGGGTTTAGTGTTTTTAAGCAAATATTTTCAGTGGCAGCATTGGTACTGTCGAATTCACAAATCATAAATTACTGAAAAGTAGAATTAAAAAAAAACTAAATAGCGGCGTATGATACGCAGCGGGTCGGCTCGTATTGATATATTTGACATGACGTTTGGTTTATTATTCAATTTATATATATATATATATATATATATATATATATATATATATATATATATATATATATATATATATATATATATATATATATATATATATATATATATATATATATATATATATATATATATATATAGTATATATTGCTCAATTCTGTATGTAAAAATAAGTTTGTCGTGGATACTTCAATGGATTTAAGTGTTAGATTATTATAGTGCTCGCGGTCTAAATTTATGAGTTAAAAAAATTAATACTGAAAGTGTTGGGAAATAATTTTCATTTTTCAAACTGATAGTAATAATTGTCGGCATTTACATTAAACACAATTTCAAAAAAATATCTTTTACAAAATTCTAATTACGTCTGAAAATTATCTATATTTAGTCCTTTAGCACTTACTTACCTTTGATAAATTACAAAAACACAATTACTTCCCTTTATAAAACATTGCATTAGTGAAAAAGAATTTACTTTTTATTACTTTGTTTTGGTGTTGGGAAAAAAATAATTACATAATTAGCGGGGATTGATCAAGTGCAAATGTTGTAGGTATTTTACGGATAAGCTTGAAGTATTATAATTGTTCATTAAATTGAAGCAGGCGCGTCCGCCGGCGCCCCACCAGGGTTCAATTTGGCGCTCTGGGCTATCCTGTGAGCGCCATGGTGCATAATTTCGCTTTAAACAGCGCGATAGAGTATGGATAAGAAAGGTTACTATAGTCTTTAAGTGAATCGAATCCGGGCGTCCTCTGGCGCCCAGACAGGGTGCTATTTGGGGCCCCCGGCCTCCCGTGTTCGGTTTGGCGCCTACGTTCGTTTAAGTGAGTGCAAAAGACTATGAATATGTTGGGGTATTATAGTCGTTTATTAAGCTGAAACAGGCGATTCCGCCCCGGGCTAGACTGTGAGCACTTTACGTTTATGTTCGCGTTAGTGTTTTCTTTGTGTTTAGGTTGGGTTTGCGTTAGTGGTTGCGTTTTGATGTGGTTCGTTTTTGTTCTTTCTTTTTTCGTTTTCGCTTGTGTTTTTTTCTTTGGGTTTGTGTTTGTATTTGTGTTTGGGGTTGGTTTTGCGTTTGGATTTGGTTTGTTTTCGTTTGCATTTTCGTTTGTGTTTTTTCTTTGGGTTTGTGTTTGTGGTTGGTTTTGAGTTTGGATTTGGTTTGTTTTCGTTTGCTTTTTTGTTTGTTTTTTCTTTGTGTTTGTATTGGTGTTTGTGGTTGTGGTTGGGTTTGTTGTTAGGTTTTTGTTTTCGTTTGTATTTGTAATTGTGTTAGCGTTATGTTGTTTTGGTTGTGGTTTGGGTGGGCAATACCGGGTTTATGATGATTACTAAATACACAGGTAATGGTCTTTAATAGAAAGGTTTTTCACAGAAGCCAGAGCAGGGCCTGGCCGGGACGGCTAGTATATATATATAATTCTCTTCTTGGAGACGTTAGAAAACAAGCTGTAAGCGCGCCTTGCTCTCTAGGAAGTATGGTTCACGCTAACTGTTTATAATAGTAGAGCCGGGTTTTGTAACGGCTATTAGGGGCAGATAATGTAGTTTGAAACGATTTTAAACTTCGGGGAGGTTCAATGGGGGGGGGGGGAAGGAGGGCGGTATCGTCCTTAACGACCATCTGATAGTGCTTTAAAGCAAATATTTTCAGTGGCAGCATTGGTACTGTTGAATTCCCAAATTATGAATTACTGAAAAGTAGAAAATAAAACAACTAAATAGCGGCGTATGATACGCCGCGGGTCGGCTCGTATATTATATTTGACACAAAAAAAGTCACCTCTCTTTCACATTACTAGCCTAGGCTGAATTTACATAAACGAGAGATCATCTAAAATTTTATTCATACTAATTTTCTAACGGTATATATATATATATATATATATATATATATATATATATATATATATATATATATATATATATACGTATATATAGGGCTATATATATGTTTATAAAGCTATCTTTTATTGAGACGATTGATATCGTCCCTGGATCCATCCAACTTGTAAACCTGACTTAAAACAAACAGAAAAAAAGGTGCTTGACATAGCGCTGACCACAAAATCCTTTTATTTGCTGATTTCAAAGAATTAAATACCACTCACCTGAAATTCAGTAGACATAGTTCTGAGTGTACAATTCATTCATTTACTGAGAACAATGAAAAATGTTTAAATTCATATGTCCTTTGTACCAGACTTAACTTTTGAACCTGAGGATCAGTAGGATGGGTGAAGTAGACTTCACCTGTTTTCATGACCGAACCATATGAAGAGATAGAGATTAGACTAAGCCCACTAACTTCACTTTCACTAATATGAATCAGGTACCCATCAGAGCTGGGTGTACTCAAAGAAATTTTACGGATTCCAACCCTAATACTTTATTATCACCCCTTACTTGTTCTATACAGTTAGAGTAACTGTACTCACCTCGAACAACTGACACTAGGTTCTGCTTTGTGGCTCCTAGTTTAATTATTATTTGACATAGATCCTGAATGAAAAGAAAAAGTTTGTATACACTGCCAATGTAGAATAAGAATATGTATTCACTTTTTATTTATTCACATTATAACTATAAAACATATTCCTTCAACTAAAAGAGTCGACCACATGGTCCAAACCTCAACCATTGTTGCCTCACTTTGAACAGTTCTTACTTGCTTCGTAACATTAAATTTGTACTTATTTCGTTGCTCGGTTAACTAAATAATGATATATTCTTAACATTTTGCATATGTTGTTCTGTGTCAATGTGTAAAAGTTATATAAAATTTCATGTATAATATAATTTATAGAAGTGAACAAAAAAAGTATGGTAGACCACGTTCCTCGTTAAAAGAGTTTATACGATGACTCAGTTATTAGTTTACTATAGGTGCTCGAGGATATAAAAGACCAAACATTTTCAGCCTTATCTCAGACACCCATCTAAACATCTTTACAAAATGTATTACTAATTCCCATACAACCATGACATTTAATAGGGTATACTCAGTGGCGGAACTAGAAAAAAGGGGCTACCCCGCAAAAATATTGTTTGGGCCCATATATATATATATATATATATATATATATATATATATATATATATATATATATATATATATATATATATAAACTAAATACGAACATTGGATACTCAATACGGGTTTTTTTTTCGAAATTTGAAAGAATTTTTTTTTTTTTTAATTAAAATATGTTACAAAAACACATCATTTGTGTGAGTGCTATTACTACTATTAGTCCGTTTTTTAATTCTTAGTTTCAACTTTTGACAATATTATATAGCTTATTAATTTACAAGTCGGTCAAAAGAATATGAAGCCTGAAAGCTTTGTATTTGCAATGGTTTCTCGCTTTATGTTTATTTTTAAGTTATTTTGTATTTATATTATTAGTTTTTAATACCTTTCCCTTTTCTACTATGTCATTCTTTATTGTGTATTTTTTATAAAAATAATAATTAAGAGAAGTAATTGCTTTTTAATTAGTTTAGTGCACAAAAAAAAGTTTCTTAACTAAGAGCACACATATTTGACTATTTAAAAAAGGGAAATAAGTCATGGAAGTGGTTTGAACATTTGCCTATCTTTCACACTACAACTCATGTAGCTAAATATTTTTTTCCTTTACGAAACAGCGTGTGTTAGCTACTGTAGAACATCACTACTGTAGTAGATCTGTTTTTTTTTTTACAAAAAAATATTTTTTTTAACTATAAAAAATTGATTATGGTCGGCTGTGGGCCCCTAAACGGCCCGGGCCCCCCCGCAGTGCGGGGTCTGGCGGCACTGTAGTTCCGCCCCTGGTATACTTTGATTAAGATTTAACGCAATTTTTCTATATTTTTTAAAATCAGCAAGCAATTGCTAGAAAAATGCCGGTAATGATCGCTGATTGGATCTTTACTGTTTATGAAGCATCAAAGTTAAGGTTGGTCTATTGTTTTTCATTTTGTAGTTCTTTTATTTATTTTCCTTATGCCCTGACACTGGCTAATTCTCCATGCACATTTTGCACATTATTACATCAATTTAAACTAGAGGCTCCTCTCGGGTGTAATACACAATTAGGCCAGACTTGAACTGAATTTCATGAAGCTGAAAATCAAAGCTGTCTCTCCAATATAGTCTATACATTTTTTTTATATTTAAATTTTAATTACATTTTTTCTTATTGCAATGTTTTATCGAATTTTTATTCTGCAGAAATGTCAATCCAATAGACGCATATCATTTAAACTATTTTAAATGCCCACCCTTCCTTGGGCTAACAATAGCATTGTATGGGTTTTCCAACACAGAGTACTTCAAAAGGAAAATAGCTTTGAATGGTATGCAGACTTTCATTTTCAGTTTTCAGGCCTTTATTCTTAGTTTTATACAAATTTGGTACATAAAGTCTATGGATCATTATGAACTTATTTGGTACAGTAAAATGTTATGAATAACTGTTTGAGTTAGGTTTGAAAAGTATATATACCATGTTGTTGTATTATTCAACCAAAGGTTAAATGAGGGTATTATAGCAGTGTGAACTAAAGCTAATAAGTATTTAGTATTTAGCTAACTAGTATTTAATATCAATGTTAAGATTAAAAATAATAAAATAATGTAATTACATTTGTTCATGTAACAATTGCAGGGGGAAAGGTGCTAGACAAGCTAGATCAATGCACCCACCTAGTACTAAATGATTATATAGGTAAACCTATTAGTACATAACTCATAAATCTCAACAAATAACTTTGATTGAAGTAGATATATTCCATGTTGTATCTATGTATATAATTCTCTACGTGGGGACCATGCGGGACACCACCACGTACGCGCGCCTAAACGCCTCCTCCCTCGCTCTTTAGGCATATAGCTACCACCCCCACCACCAGTCTGGTGAACTGTGGTTCACGCCAAATGTTTACAATGATGTTTTTCATTTTCGTCTATAAACTGTCGTCACTGACGGCTGCTTTCACGAGTGTAGGGAGGAGGAGGATAATCGTTTTTCACGAGCTACTGATAGTGTTTTAAAGCAAAATATTTTCAGTAGCAGCATTGGTAGTGTCGAATTCTCAAATATAAATAACTGAAAAGTAGATAATAAAACAATTTAATAGCACCGTATGCTACAAGGGCGTATGCTGCGTTCGGCTCGTAGTCTTTGTTTGAGAATTATTTTTTTTTTACTGTTTTTGTACAATCATTATGTATACATCTATCATTTTTTCCAAAGACCAATCTTTAGGCCGCCTTTTAGAAGCACAAGAAAACGAACCGATTATCATTCCTCGCGAGTGGCTCACAGATTGCCTAAAAGAAAAAAGCTATCTAAACCCTCTGCATTACAAGGTGTATATCACCAACCCCCCTGGTAATTTTTATATAATATATTCAAATTAGTTGAGATAATTGGTGTACAATTTAATTTTTACTAATCTTATCCATTTTTTAAATTTAATCGTTTTTAATTTATTGATATTAAAAACATAGATGAAGTGAAAGTTGACATGTATGATTTACTCACTTATTAAAATAAACCGGTAGTGATCTCCCCTAAACTTTCTCAAATATTCTTATATAAAACAACAGGGGATGGTAACTGGGGATATAGTTATGATTTTTAATCCATTTTAAATACTGAAACTTTTAAAAATAGAATAGAATCTCAGTAAAAAACAATTGCGCACCAAGCGAACGCCTAATAAAGGTGTGTATAATAGTGCGCAATAGTATTAGTACTTATAAATTTACATTAGTTTTTTGAGAAATCGGAAGTAGCGTAAATTACTACTTCCGGTAAACGGATATTGCTCAAAATTTAACAGAAGGTAGAGAATTAGATCTTTTACTTACATGTGAAATTTCATTTATCTATCTGAAATAGTACTCAAGTTATAGGCTTTTGAAAAATTCAAAGTAGAAAAAGTACCACTTCCGGTTGTCGGAAATCGCTCAAAAGTTGATACGGATCTACGATTTTGATATAATACTTATATATGAAATTTCATCAACCTAGCTGTAACGGTACTCAAGTTATCGTGTTTACACACGGACAGACACACACACAGACACACACACAGACACACACACACACAGACATACGGACAAGATTGCAAAATTATGTTTTTCCGTATCAGTGAGGTGTAAAACGTCGAGATTTGTAAAAATCTCGATTTTTTTTTTGCACGATTACAATACTTTCTCTATACTACGTATATACGAGAAAGTAAAAAAGTTTAATATTTCCTCATTTCTGTACATTTATTGTAGCAAAAAACCAGGGGCCTACAAACAAAAAGAGATACTTCAACGAGTATGGGCATGAAATTGTGTACATGAAGGTAATTACTTTTAATTTAAAAAATCTTTATTGTAAACCAAAAAGCATTTTACACCTCATGTTGTTTAAGTCATTTTTCCAAGAAACTGATTATTTTCTGACATCATTTTCCTTTTATTTATTTTCAGGCACCTATGTTTTTTGATCCTAAAGGTAAATATATCCTATACAGGACAAATCTTAAATACTCATTTAAATAAGAAATTTCAATTTCTCAACATGTATTGTTTTTTTTAAAATACATTCAATTCTGAGCAGTTTTGTAAAATTATTTTGCTTCATTAAATAGTGGTAGTATTTTTTATACATTTTTAAAAGTTAATTAGAGTAATGACTTAATTCTCCTATATTTTTCATAATTAACCAACCCAAAAATAATAATTTAAAAAAAACAGCTCAAAAGCTGTTCTATCTGCTAAGTAAGAGGGTGCAACTTTCATAATATAAATAGTTTTCACTATTTCTTGTTTTTCTCTAAAATCACATATTTCTCATTTTTCTCAAAACGTCAGTTTGTATCAAAATAGTACTGGTTAGGAACATTTATCTTAAAAGCTACTTATTTTAAAAATAATTACTTATTAAAAGCCACTAAAATATTTCATTAAAATTTTGTACACATGTTAACCAAACACTGCTTTAAAAGAATGATTACAAGTACAATCATTTACGTATTACTTAAACTTTTTTTTACAAAATAAATTGCTTTGCCTACCCCTGATTTTTAAGTCAGATTTTAAGTCTCGCGTTTAAAAAATTAGTCAAAAACTCAATTTTTAAAAAATTTCTAATGGTTATAGTCTAAAATTTTTTGTATAGATGTATATTATATGTGGTTAAAATTATATGCCGTTCTGTCTAATACTCTTTTTTTCTGTGTACCTTACTGAATGCTGATTTTGAGGGTTTTTTACCCTAAAAGTGCAGTTTTAGATACAATCGTGAAGTTCTAGAGATTTTTGTGGTTTTTCTTAGATTTTAATACTATTTACAACTTCCTAATCACTCAAAATGGTCGAAATTCACTGATTTCAATTAGGGGGTTTAACCTGCCCTTAAACAGCCTATTTCAACATTAAGTTTATTAAATTAAATAAAATATCTAAAAATGATACCGGAAAGTTAATTATGTTTTAACAATATTTACTTGAGTAAGCTTTACTTAAGTCGTCTAATAAATCTCAAATCGTTTCAGAAATAGATGATTTTATGAAAGGTGTCAAAGCCTATGAAGACCAGAAGAATGTTTCGGAGGCGGAAAAGCCACAAACCGTAAATCAACAAACCACAAAGGTACCTCCAAGCACGCATTGAAAAAAGGTTTAACATTTTTACAATTAGTTATTTTATTACAAAATGTAAATTGGCGGATGTTAGAGTGATTGCTGCAAACCTGCAAGTCTCCAGTTCATAACTCAGATCTAACTTCAGTCTAAAGGACATCCATCAGTCCACCCAGCTCTAGTGGGCACCTGACTGACATAAGGAAAAGTAATAGGTTATAAAGAGCAAATTATTTTGTTAACTAGTGGTCCAGCTCTCCTATATCTTGTTTTCACAGCCTGGTAAAATGCAATCTGAAGCTGATGATATTGATGACACAATACTAGAGTTTGTACAAAAAGCTTATGTTACCAACCTAGTAAAAGTTGGAGTCTCTGCTGGTAAAATATACTGTTTTGTCATAGATATAGATAGATAAAAACCTGAAAACTGGTAAAATTTCTATTTTTGTAGTTAATAATTTTCTTCCTCGACTTGTTTCAATTTCTTTTTGTACAATATTTATTGTCTACGGTTTTAAGCAAAAGCCTCTCTGAAATCAAAGATCCCTAAGTTTATTGTGATGACAAAAAACGCCCTTTCAACATCTCATGTGTTTGAACTACACGAGTTGTGTAAGGCCAAGGTAACTCATTTGTAATAGTTTAGCAATTAAGCCATTACTTTCTAATGCGGCAGAGATTTTTCTTATGTGGAACCATCCGGTTGCTTAGTCGTATTGAGAAGAATTATTAAAGCAACTGGTTGATTTTATTTAAATTTAATTTGCCATTTATTTCAAGTTCATTAGTTTAGGTGCTATCTCATGCATAGTAGCTAACTTGACATGGTGACCATTTTGCCTGCTATCAAGTTTGGCATATAGTACATTTGATTTTTTTTATTTCCTTACCCAGGCTGTGCCATATGTATTTGTTGTGTCCAAAGAAGGTCAGTTATTTAATATTTTTCTATTTTGTTTTCATAAACTGCAGTTACTATATTTTATTGTGTAATTGATATTAGTACATCTTATTTTTTTTATTACACTCCTGATAGAGCTTTGATACTCTTCTTATCAACAGCTTTGGGCCAAGCATGCAACTCCAGAGTTCCAGTGACAGCCTGTTCAATCTTGAACATTAACTCCAATGCAAATTTTGAATCTGATGTTCAGAAACTCATGAAATTGCAGAGCAGTAAGTTCATTATCATATATAAACAATATTTGTAGTTTCTTTTCAATCGATTTTTTTCTTGAGTTAATAAAGGCATAAATACGAAGGTGATACCATTAAAATTTGACATAAATGACTGATAGTTACCAAGAAACCAGACCAAAAACTCAATATTTGTGCTAAGAAAGGGGTAATATATCTTTTTATGTAGTTTGTAATACTGGATACTGCTCTATGCTTTCCTTATATCAAATTACGGTAAAGCACTATAAATTAATTTCTCTTGCATGGTTGATGTTGTAGATCTGCCGTCACATACAAGGTTCAATGTGGAAACAACACGTAACCATTAAATTGATGGTTTTTAAATAAAATAGCAAACATCATTAGTTTAGTTTCAAGTTTTTAAAGTTTTGAATATTAGTGGTGATTTTAACAGGGTCAAAATTTAAGCACTAACAGTTTACATGCTGTATTTATTTCAACAATTACATTTTTTTTCAGACACTGCTGCTAAAGTTCTAGTAACTGAGCTGGTCAGCTTCACACAACACGTAAAAGATGAGCAGAAATAACAGTTTATCATGAGTACAAAATCAGGCCAAATGTTAAAAGTCGGACAGGAAAGTTACACTGTCTAAAAAACAAATGCATGGTAAATGAGATGCTTGTCTCAATTAACGAAATAAACTATCATAAGGAAAAAATGCTGCAAAGAAATCACACTGCACTATTTTTTAATTTGGGACGCACTGGCAAAGGTTTATAAAGCTACATCTCAACAACATCTTAAGGAAAATAAATAATATTAAGCACTATTAAATGTTGTTACTTTTTCTTTAAAAACCATTAAGCAATCACTTAAATTATAGCATAAAAGAATACAAAAAGATTCCATTTTGGATAAAGTCTTCTAATGCAGAATGGTAACATATAAACTAAACGATTTGTCAATTTTCTTTCCATATGCTGCAATTGTTTTACAAGATAATTTACATTATTAAACGTAAACCACATAAACTACAACATTAAAGTAGTGAGAATATTTACCCCCATCTTCTAGCATTAATTTAAGGAAAAATTAGCATTTTCTACTAAAATACTATCGAGAATCTATATAATAGTTTCGCTGTCTGTCTATGTATCTATCTATCTGTCTACCTATCTATGTATCTGACAAGAACGCTATTGTATGATCTACAATTGCGACCAGTGTTTCTTTCAGACTTTTTCCTCCCCGGAGAGGGGTGGGGGGTACTTGAAATTTTCGGGGGCGGGGTTAGAATTATCGGGGAGGGGGCAGACACTGGAAAAAGTATATTATTATTATGTTGTCTTTACTAATTACATGTTAACTTTCACAAAATGTTTGACCTTATACAGATCCACAAAACCTTGAATACAGCCATGATATTGTATCATTAACAATTACTGTAATGTATAGTAAAAAAACTGACGCGAGAGAGCACAAGATACAGTGCTTATAACATAAATACAAGTCAGCTCCTTACATATTACATACATCTTGTATTTAAAAATACAGAATTTTTAAATTTTTGCAAAAAATCCATATAATTTTAAACAGTCAAAATGGCAATTTTTACTAAATTCATGTGGCATTTTTTTAAAGATAAAAATAACTTTAAAACTTTACAAGGTACCTTATTGAGAAGTACAATTTTTAAAAAGTTACAGCAGTGAAGCAATAGTCACATTGAGACTCATAACATGGCTTTGATTCAAATGCAATTTAATCTTTTTTTAATATATACCTTAATATGTATTTCAATTTTATTTAAACATTTCTGAATGTTCGTGACTATAAAAGCAATGGAGGGAATAGCCGCTCTTAGCTCAATAGAAGAAAGAAGAGAATCGAAAATCCTCACTCAATACACTAATCTAGAGGCACTGGATCACCATAATCAAAAACACAAACTCCAGAAGCCCAGCCCATCAAACAGACTACAAAGAACAAGTTTTATCAAAGAAGCAAAAAATCTAAAAAAAAAGATATATGAAATAAAAAACATCATTCCTGAAACAATCAAAACTCAAAACCTCTCCCCGCCTTGGATCTCTCACCATACTTTAACCATCAGTGACTCAATAGATAACATAGAAAAAAATCTGACTACGTTTAAGAAGAACTAAAGAAAATAACAAATAGGCACATTAAGGATCAGTAGCCCAGCAATACCTGGATTAGAGTATTTACAGATGGCTCAGCCGAAGATGCCACAAAAATGGCGGTGCTGGAGCCCTTACTTGAATGGCCAAACGGAGAAAGCTTGGAAACGTCAAAAGCCACAGGCAGCCTATCCGACAATTTTAGAGCATAGAAAGAAGCTTTTGAGCATGCAGCAAACCTCCGGTCAGATCACCCTGAATCTCCAAATAGTCAGATAGTCTTTCTTACAGATGCTAAATCTGTCCTGCAGTCCCTAAAAAATCCAGAGTCATATACTATACTCAATTACTCAGGACAACACTAGAAAGGCTACAAAATACCTGCAGCAGAATTGTGCTGCAGTGGATCCCGGGCCACTGCCAGATACAAGGAAATGAGATTGCGGACCAGAGTGCAAAAATTTGGGGAAAGAAAAAACAAACAGAAAACTCGCTACACCCAAAGGAAATCAAAAGAATCATAAAAAAACACAAATGTGGTCCGACACACACCCACACTACAAAAAAGATGATGGATATTTTAATTTGACACGAAAACAACAATATATAATCTTTAGACTTAGAACAGGCCACAACAGACTAAAACAGCACATGCATAAAAAAATTAAAATTGGGTGTGTCGAAATATGCCCTAGTGGCAAGGCCCTGGAGAATACGGAGCACGTCCTTCACTTCAAGAATGTTCATTATATACCCAAGCGCTATCCAAACACTGGCCCCTACACAACCCCACTCAAGGAAAAACTATATGGGGCACCCGCTGATCTGGAGACCACAGTCCAGTTCATACACGAAGTTCGGCTTGGTGTTTAAATCCTCCATCATATACCTAATATACCTACTTAAGAACGAAGAAAAAGTTAAGTTCCTTGTGAGAGGGCTTCACCTTTCCATACAATTATTGTGGGTGTTCCACTACCAATATTCCTTGGTCACAGACAACATGAATATACTAGACGGATTCTATTTCTTTCTGTTTTTCTTGTTTTTTATTTAAAATTATTAGCAACGTCAGTTTAGTAGCCAAGTAGATTTGTCATTAACAGTAAACATATTTCCTTCCGCATCAACAGCATCACCGCAACTACCTAGCATGCATTCTATATCAACAACGTTCTCTACCTGCCATGTCACTATCTTTTATGCTTTCATTTGTTCATTTACACACCCGCACCGACATTCATTCGCAACAAATTTGTACTCAAAGAGCATGCATCATAACATTAAACATCAAAGTAATGTCAACATCATAAAAAAATGCAACACCCATTTATACATTGTTATATGTTAGCTTCCTTAATAAAACAAGGAAAGGGATAAAACAGTAAATAAATCTTCTGGATTTAAATAATCTTAAAAATTGCAAGTTAAAAAAAAAAACACTGTCATGGGATCTTTTGAAAAAAAACTGCAACAAAATGTGAAGTTCAGTCATCATTGACTTTTTAAAAAGTTACATTTTGATCATACTTTCCATGTATATTTTAAGAAAAAATTATCATGATTTTAACAAAAAGCAAATTTAGCATTTTGTATGAATGGTGTTAAAATTGATGTGATTACTGTGTAGTCAGAACTAACTAATAATAACTGCTAATGTGACAATAAATTACAAGAATGTTCCATACTTATTTGAAACTAGTATTATTAAAACAATACATTTTTTACTTTCTCGTATATACGAAGTATAGAGAAAGTCTTGTAATCGTGCAAAAAAAAAATCGAGATTTATACAAATCTCGACGTTTTACACCTCTCTGATACGGAAAAACATCATTTTGCAATCTTGTCCGTATGTCTGTGTGTGTGTGTGTGTGTGTGTGTGTGTGTGTCTGTGTGTCTGTGTGTAAACACGATAGCTTGAGTACCATTACAGCTAAGTTGATAGAATTTCATATATAAGTATTTTATCGAAATCGTAGATCCTGATCAACTTTTGAGCGATAACCGGAAGTGGTACTTTTTCTACTTTGATTTTTTTCAAAAGCCTATAACTTTCAGAGAGATAAATGAAATTTCAGATGTAAGTAAAAGATCTAATTCTCTACCTTCTATCAAATTTTGAGTAATTTCCGTTGACCGGAAGTACTAATTTACTCTATTTCCGATTTCTCAAAAAAACGCATGTAAATTTATAAAGTACTAATAATATTGCGCACTATTATGCACATATTGTTTCGGCGTTCGCTTGGTGCGCAATTCTTTTTTTCTACGAGATTCTATTCTATTTTTAAAAGTTTAAGTAATTAAAAATCATTTCTATATTCCAAGTTATATAAGAATATTCGAGAAAGTTTAGGGGAGATCACTCCCGGTTTATTAAGTTAGTTGTTCATTATTTTCTCGTATACGAAGAATAGAGGAAGTATTGTAATCGTGCAAAAAAACGAAATCGATATTATTTTTTTAAACTCGGCGTTTTACACCTCCCTGATTCGGAAAAACATAGTTTTGCAATTTTGTCTGTATGTCTGTGTGTATATATGTGTGTATGTGTGTGTAAGTCTGTGAACACGATAAATTGAGTACCGTTATAGCTAAGTTGATGAAATTTCAAATATAAGTATTATATCAAATTTGTAGTTCCGATAACCGAAAGTGGAACTTGTTCTATATTTAGTTTTTCAAAAGCCTATAACTTGAGTACTGTTTCAGATAGATAAACGAGATTTCACATATAAAAGATCTACTTTTCTGCCTTCTATCAAATTTTGAGTAATTTCAGTTGACCGGTTAAAAATCAGATAACGTTTAATTAAATATAATTTTCTTTTTTGTTTGCAACTTTTCAATTATGAACAAAAATAACAAATCTACCATCAGCTCCTGCCATCCCAACATATTTACACTTTAGAAAGCTATGTAATGAATTAATTAGATTTAGTAAATAAAACTTCTCCATTAGTTCAGTAAATACAAATTTATTTATAAAACAGCATTGCATGCTTCACAAAAACCTCTGATAACTGTAAAGGACAAAAGATCCTGTTACATTAATAATGTACTTTAAATTCTTAATCTTCTCTCTTGTAAAAAAAAAAAAACATTATTTCTATTTCCTTAGACTATTGCTAGCTTTAAACCTAGTTTAGATCTAAATAATTTTTTAAAACTTATCTATGCCATTTGCACTATAAAGAAAAAATTCCACTATATCTATCCTCAGCTCCGTACATTTAATGTTCTTGATTGCTTGCCTACTTTTTACTCAGCCATGCTGGCACACTATCGGTCTGACAAAATTAACTATTTTGTAAAATCAGTTTAGAAATTCTTTAAAAAAAAAAGAAGCTAAATGAAGATTGCCATTAGATGAAATAAGCATTTTTTAAAATATCGTTAAACAACATAGGCATCATTTGTCCACTTACAAACAATTTATTTTGTGAGATTCTATGTCGAAATAGCAAGTTTATACTAGTTTACTTTAGTTTTAAAAACTAATACCAAATTTGATGAAGTAATTAATTAAAGTTGTTAATAGTTGTTATGATGTTTATTAATTGCTGTTTCCCCAGTATTGTAAGTTATGAGCACTGAAAGCTAAATGTATATATATATATATATATATATATATATATATATATATATATATATATATATATATATATATATATATA